CTAGCCCGTGAGCAAAAGTGACAGGTACTGAGTTCAAGTACCAGTCCCGGCCCTACAACAACAACAAAATGAGATGAAAATCTGTTCAAGGCCAAAGGTAGGTGGGTGAGGAATATGTCTCTGTGTAAGAGGATCTCGGTTCGAATCCAGCCAAGGTAGCAAAGACCATGAGATTTTTATCTCCAGTCAACTAGCCCGAAGCCAAAAGTGGCAATGTGGCTCAAATGGTAGAGCACCAGCCTTGAACGAAAAAGCCAAGCGAGTGCACAAGGCCATGAGTTCAAGCCTCCATTCTGGCAGCCCCCTCCCCCCCCAGCCATACAAACAAAAACTCTTATGGGTCATATAAAAGGGATATTATTGTAATCATGATAGGGATGCGGAGATAAAAGTGTGTTCTGACCGGCCAGCACCACACCGTGAGGCCATATCTCAACAGAAACTATCATCACCGTTTTCAAGAGAAAAGCATTCTTCCACGTAGGGTAAGATTGTGAAAAACCACACGCATTGAAGTCTTTAACATTTTCCATTGGCTGTATTTGTGAGTCCGGAGTTGAGAGGCTGCATTTGTGAGTTTTCATTCCTCCGCAGGGCTTTGGCTGGTATGTTTCCTCGGCACGCCACCACAAGAACGTTCTGATTTCCATGCAGGCAGATGGAAAGTTGTGCGGTGTATTTTAATTTGATTTTTTTTTTTAAATTTGCCAAGCATCAACACTGGAGACTGTGCTTCTGAAAGCTGTTTCTCTGGCGACATCTGGTGGCGAAACACTGAACTGCAGCAGCACGAGGCAGGTGCTCTGGGCAGGTGGGCTTGAGCCTCTCCTGCTCGGTCCAACCGTGCTCCTTGGGCTTCATTCTGCTGGATTCACACCTGCGTATTCGGATGTATGTAAATATATATGCACACATATTCATATGTATGTATGTGTGTGTTTGTGTGCATGTACACTTATATATTGTATATAATATGTACTATATGAACATGTTAAATGACTTGGATCATCTTCGTACCCTTTCCTTAATTTAATTCCTGATCAGATAGCTGTTAGTTTGTCACAGGAGGGCTGGGGACTCGGCTCAGCCTCCACTACTCAGGCTGCGAGAACGGACAGAAATCCTGAGGGATTTTGATTTTCCTCTCTCTCTCTCTGACTGTATCGGGGCTCGAACTCAGGGCCTCGGGCTTATGAGGATGGCATGGTACCGCCGAGCCACACCCCCCGGCCCTGTTCGGCCTGGTTCGTTTTAGGATTAGGTCTCGCTTCCCTCCCAGGTGCGTGGCTGAGCGCAGGGGGTGTTAGGTCCCTGCTGGGGTCCCAAGCAAGCGGGTGCTACAGAATCTGGTGACCCTCCGTGGAGAGGGTGGCATGTGGCTTTTCCTGGCCGGGCTGGCCTCAAATCACCAGCCTCCTAATTACAGCCTCTCCCATTGCTTGGTGTGGCAAACAGAGCTCCTAGCTAGGGACTGAGATGGAGTCTCTTGGACTTTTCTCCTTGGGCTGACCTCCAACGGCAAACCTTTTTTTTTTTTCCTGCCTCACAAGCAGCTAGGATTACAGATGCGAGCCACTGAGTGCCTGTCTCCACTGGCACAAACTGGAAATAAGATCACTTGGAAAATACAGAATAACTTTAATTTCCCCCCCCCCCCAAGATCACTGAAGCCCCAACTGCTCATGGCCATTTTATTGTTTCCTTGATGTGTGCTTGGTGCTCTTCTATGTTTGTGTAGAGGAATGTGGGTTTTCATTTAAAATTCTCAAACAGGAGTAAAGATGTAAACTGGAAAACTGTTTTATACCCACCAGCCAGACGTCTGAGAAATTGCCTCTAAATCCCAAGGACTCTACATATGAAATATGAGTTTAATATCCAAAGTAACTAAAACAAATGAGTACCTCCTCCAGACTTTCTGGAATAAATGCTAGGCGCACATACGTGGTGTGGGCTGCAGTTCTCTGAGAAAGGTACTCTATTGGGATGAAGTAACGTGGCGGTGAAACTCATCCACACCAAAGAGACTTACTGTCCTGAGGTTGATCTGATGCTTAAACCTAGAGCTCACAGCAAAAGAATTTCCAACAGCCATTGTCTTTCACATTTTTTTTTGGCCGGTCCTGGGGCTTGAACTCAGGGCCTGGGCACTGAATGGCTCAGTGGTAGAGCGCTTGCCTAGCATGCATGAAGCCCTGGGTTCGATTCCTCAGCACCACATACACAGAAAAGGCCGGAAATGGCGCTGTGGCTCAAGTGGTAGAGCGCTTGCCTTGAGCTAAAGAGCTGAGGGACAGCGCCCAGGCCCAGAGTTCAAGCCCCACGACTAGCAAAAAAAATTAAAAGTCTCTGTGAAGCAATTTCTTCCTGCCCTGTTGATTAACACTGGTTTCTATCTCGAACCACAAAAGACATCCATTTGTGAAAAGTATGTAAAAGAGTGATAGAATGTTCAGATGACAATTAAAGTGTACTTAGTGTATTATTTAAAAAGATGAAAGGGGCGGCGTGGACTGATGTGCGCTGACAGCCTGAATAAGGATAAGCTTTGTACAGCTGCTTAAAGACAACCAGGGAGGGAAAAAGGGTAAATCTGATGCCCAGGCATAAGATGGATATCTCGGATGGTTTGCAGATTTGGAGGGATTTCCTTGGCTCTCCTGGGCCCGGTGGCCTTGGGCTGGGATCGGCGATGGAGCTGTGTGCCGGGGTGGTTCACTGAGCTACATTCGTTTGGATTGTACTTGGAAGGTGACCTTAGGTGAGGTTTTGGTTTGCTCGTTTCTGGTACCCATCCTGTCTTATTAGCCAATTACACATTCCTTCCTAGGCCCGGGTCTGCCGTCCACATGGTAGTAGCAGTCACAGTTCCATGCGGTCCAGTCACACCTGTCCAGCTGTCCTCTCCTCAAATACAGCCATGAAAAACAAAGAGCACAAGAAAGGAAAGGCAGTCAGGGGAAACATTCACAAAACCCCTGTGATTCTTCAGCGTCCACGCGTAAGTCCACACGCAGAGCCACCAGGGTGGCAAGGGGTGCGGGAAGCCTCAGCGAGTGGAACCCCCCTCCCCCCTCCCCTCCCTCCCCCTCCCCTCCCCTCCCGCCCTCCCCCCTCGCCCCCTCCCCCCTCCCCCCTCCGTCCTCCCTCTCTCCCTCCCCCTCCCCTCCCCTCCCCCCTCCCCCCCTCCCCTCTCCTCTCCCTCCCCCCTCTACCTCTTTCCCCCCCTCCCTCCCTCCCCTCCTTCCCCTCCCTCTACCTCTCCCTCCCCTCTCCCCCTCTCCCCCGTCTCCTCCCCCTCTCCCTCCCCCTCCCCCTCTCCCTCCCCCTCTCCCCCTCCTCCTCCCCCTCCTCCCTCCCCCCTGCCCCTCCCTCCCCCTCCCCTCAACCCCCCACCCCCCCCTCCCGCACATCAGGGCGAAATCCCAGCCTTCCAGACAGTCTTCACCGCGAGGCCTCCACCCTCTCCTCCCACGGGGAGAGGCCTCGGCGGTCCCCAGCAAGCGGCTCCCGGTGATGTCAGACCACGCCGGACCCACACGGGAGCAGCAGGGTCGTCGGCCCACGGCAGCCCCCGGGGCGGAGCCGGAGGGGCGTGCCCACGGACGGCCCCGCCCCGCCCCACGCTCCAGCCCCACCTCCGTGGCCTCCGCCCCACGCTCCAGCCCCACCTCCGCGGCCCCGCCCCGCGCTCCAGCCCCACCTCCGCGGCCACGCCCCGCGCTCCAGCCCCACCTCCGCGGCCCCGCCCCGCGCTCCAGCCCCACCTCCGCGGCCCCGCCCGCGCTCCAGCCCCACCTCCACGCCCCGCCCCGCGCTCCAGCCCCACCTCCACGCCCCCGCCCCGCGCTCCAGTCCCACCTCCGTGGCCCCGCCCCGCGCTCCCGGCCCGCCCTCCGTGGCCCCCGCCCCGCGCTCCAGCCCACCTCCGCGGCCACGCCCCGCGCTCCAGCCCCACCTCCGCGGCCCCCGCCCCGCGCTCCAGCCCCACCTCCGCGGCCCCGCCCCGCGCATCCAAGCCCCACCTCCACGCCCCGCCCCGCGCTCCAGCCCCACCTCCGCGGGCCCCGCCCCGCGCTCCAGCCCCACCTCCACGCCCCCGCCCCGCGCTCCAGTCCCGCCTCCGCGGCCCCAGCCCCGCGCTCCAGTCCCACCTCCGCGGCCCCGCCCCGCGCTCCAGCCCCACCTCCACGGCCCCGCCCCGCGCTCCAGCCCCACCTCCACGGCCCCCGCCCCGCGCTCCAGCCCCACCTCCACGCCCCGCCCCGCGCCTCCAGGCCCACCTCCGCGGCCCCGCCCCGCGCTCCAGCCCCACCTCCACGGCCCCGCCCCGCGCTCCAGCCCCACCTCCACGCCCCGCCCCGCGCTCCAGGCCACCTCCGCGGCCCCGCCCCGCGCTCCAGCCCCACCTCCGTGGCCCCGCCCCGCGCTCCAGTCCCACCTCCGTGGCCCCGCCCCGCGCTCCAGGCCCACCTCCGTGGCCCCGCCCCGCGCTCCAGTCCCACCTCCGTGGCCCCGCCCCGCGCTCCAGTCCCACCTCCGTGGCCCCGCCCCGCGCTCCAGGCCCACCTCCGTGGCCCCGCCCCGCGCTCCAGTCCCACCTCCGTGGGGCCCGCCCCGCGCTCCAGGCCCACCTCCGCGGCCCCCGCCCTCCGCGGCCCCGCCCCGCGCTCCAGCCCCACCTCTGTGGCCCCCGCCCCGCGCTCCAGTCCCACCTCCGCGGCCCCGCCCGCGCTCCAGCCCCACCTCCGCGGCCCCGCCCCGCGCTCCAGCCCCACCTCCGCGGCCCCGCCCCGCGCTCCAGCCCCACCTCCGCGGCCCCGCCCCGCGCTCCAGCCCCACCTCCGCGGCCCCGCCCCGCGCTCCAGCCCCACCTCCGCGGCCCCGCCCCGCGCTCCAGCCCCACCTCCGCGGCCACGCCCCGCGCTCCAGGCCCACCTCCGTGGCCCCGCCCTGCAGCCCGGCACCCCCGGGCGTGGCGTGGCGTGCGGACGCCGGCGGGCCGCGCGGGGCCGAAGCCCCAGCCCCGGCTGCTGGGCCTCGCTCCGTGAGGAGACATGGCGGCCCTGACGACGGTGGTGGCGGCGGCGGCGGCAGCCACGGCGGGGGCGGGGGCGACGCCCGGGCCCGGCGCGGGAGCGGCGGCGTCTCCACAGGTGACAGGGCCGGCGGGGCGCGGGCCGGGGCGGGCGTGGCCTGGGCCCGGGTCGGGGGGAGGGGGTCGCAGGCCGGGGTCTGAGGGCCGGGGTCTGAGGGCCGGGGGGGGGGCAGGCCGGGGTCTGAGGGGCGGGGTCTGAGGGCCGGGGTCTGAGGGCCGGGGGGGGGCGCAGGCCGGGGTCTGAGGGGCGGGGGGGGGGGCAGGCCGGGGTCTGAGGGGCGGGGGGGGGGCAGGCCGGGGTCTGAGGGGCGGGGGGGGGCAGGCCGGGGTCTGAGGGCCGGGGGGGGGGCGCAGGCCGGGGTCTGAGGGGCGGGGGGGGGCGCAGGCCGGGGTCTGAGGGGCGGGGGGGGGGCGCAGGCCGGGGTCTGAGGGCCGGGGGGGGGGGCGCAGGCCGGGGTCTGAGGGGCGGGGGGGGGGCGCAGGCCGGGGTCTGAGGGGCGGGGGGGGGGGCGCAGGCCGGGGTCTGAGGGGCGGGGGGGGGGGGCGCAGGCCGGGGTCTGAGGGGCGGGGGGGGGGGCGCAGGCCGGGGTCTGAGGGGCGGGGGGGGGGGGCAGGCCGGGGTCTGAGGGGCGGGGGGGGGGGGCGCAGGCCGGGGTCTGAGGGGCGGGGGGGGGGGGCGCAGGCGGGGTCTGAGGGGCGGGGGGGGGGGCGCAGGCCGGGGTCTGAGGGGCGGGGGGGGGGGGGGGCGCAGGCCGGGGTCTGAGGGGCGGGGTCTGAGGGGCGGGGTCTGAGGGCCGGGGTCTGAGGGGCGGGGGGGGGGGGCGCAGGCCGGGGTCTGAGGGCCGGGGGGGGGCGCAGGCCGGGGTCTGAGGGGCGGGGGGGGGGCGCAGGCCGGGTCTGAGGGGCGGGGTCTGAGGGCCGGGGTCTGAGGGCCCGGGGGGGGGGGGGCAGGCCGGGGTCTGAGGGCCGGGGTCTGAGGGGCGGGGTCTGAGGGGCGGGGGGGGGGGGGCAGGCCGGGGTCTGAGGGGCGGGGGGGGGGGCAGGCCGGGGTCTGAGGGGCGGGGTCTGAGGGGCGGGGGGGGGGGCGCAGGCCGGGGTCTGAGGGGCGGGGTCTGAGGGCCGGGGTCTGAGGGGCGGGGTCTGAGGGGCGGGGGGGGGGGGCGCAGGCCGGGGTCTGAGGGGCGGGGTCTGAGGGGCGGGGTCTGAGGGCCGGGGTCTGAGGGGCGGGGTCTGAGGGCCGGGGTCTGAGGGGCGGGGTCTGAGGGGCGGGGGGGGGGGCGCAGGCCGGGGTCTGAGGGGCGGGGGGGGGGGGCGCAGGCCGGGGTCTGAGGGCCGGGGGGGTGCGCAGGCCGGGGTCTGAGGGGCGGGGTCTGAGGGGCGGGGTCTGAGGGCCGGGGTCTGAGGGGCGGGGTCTGAGGGCCGGGGTCTGAGGGGCGGGGTCTGAGGGGCGGGGGGGGGGGGCGCAGGCCGGGGTCTGAGGGGCGGGGTCTGAGGGCCGGGGGTGGGCGCAGGCCGGGGTCTGAGGGGCGGGGTCTGAGGGGCGGGGTCTGAGGGCCGGGGTCTGAGGGGCGGGGTCTGAGGGCCGGGGTCTGAGGGGGCGGGGTCTGAGGGGCGGGGGGGGGGGCGCAGGCCGGGGTCTGAGGGGCGGGGTCTGAGGGGCGGGGTCTGAGGGCCGGGGTCTGAGGGGCGGGGTCTGAGGGCCGGGGTCTGAGGGGCGGGGTCTGAGGGGCGGGGTCTGAGGGCCGGGGTCTGAGGGGCGGGGGGGGGGGCGCAGGCCGGGGTCTGAGGGGCGGGGTCTGAGGGGCGGGGTCTGAGGGGCGGGGTCTGAGGGCCGGGGTCTGAGGGGCGGGGTCTGAGGGCCGGGGTCTGAGGGGCGGGGTCTGAGGGCCGGGGTCTGAGGGGCGGGGTCTGAGGGCCGGGGTCTGAGGGCCGGGGTCTGAGGGGCGGGGGGGGGGCGCAGGCCGGGGTCTGAGGGGCGGGGGGGGGGGCGCAGGCCGGGGTCTGAGGGCCGGGGGGGTGCGCAGGCCGGGGTCTGAGGGGGGGGCGCAGGCCGGGGTCTGAGGGCCGGGGGGGGGGCGCAGGCCGGGGTCTGAGGGGGGGGGCGCAGGCCGGGGTCTGAGGGCCGGGGGGGGGGGCGCAGGCCGGGGTCTGAGGGCCGGGGTCTGAGGGCCGGGGGGGGGGGGCGCAGGCCGGGGTCTGAGGGGGGGGGCAGGCCGGGGTCTGAGGGCCGGGGGGGGGCACAGGCCGGGGTCTGAGGGGGGGGCGCAGGCCGGGGTCTGAGGGGCGGGGTCTGAGGGGGGGGGGCGCAGGCCGGGGTCTGAGGGGGGGGCGCAGGCCGGGGTCTGAGGGGCGGGGTCTGAGGGGGGGGGCGCAGGCCGAGGTCTGAGGGGGGGGGCGCAGGCCGGGGTCTGAGGGGGGGGGGCGCAGGCCGGGGTCTGAGGGGGGGGGCGCAGGCCGGGGTCTGAGGGGGGGGCGCAGGCCGGGGTCTGAGGGGCCCAGGGGCGGCAGGGCCCAGGCGCAGGCGGCCCGTGCGGGGCGGGAGGCGGGTGCTGGGGGCCACGCCGACCCCCCCCCTCCGCCCCGTCCCGCCGGCCCGGGGCCTGGTGGGTCCTCGCGTCGTTCAGGCGCCCGGCCCCGCTCTTCCCTCCCCGCTGTTCCCTGGCGCGGCCGCAAACCTATGGTGCGTGCGCCCCGTCGGCAGCCCCCCCGCGCACCCCCCCCCCCCCCCCCCGCGCACCCCAGCGCCCCGCACGGTGCCCAGCTGGGGGACGCCACCCTCCTCCCCCGCTGCCGCCCGGGGCTTGGACTCAGCTCCCTGCTCTCGCCTTTGGGCGAGGGGGGGGGGTTGTGCTCATCGACGGTCACAGCACTCCGTTTAGCACTTTAAAACATATTCCGGTCCTTGCCTGGAATCCTAGCTACTCAGGAGGCTGAGATCTGAGGATCGGGGTTCAAAGCCAGCCTGAGTGGACTTTTATCTCCAGTCAACTACTCAGAAGAAGCCATACGTGGCACTGTGGGTCAAGTGGTAGAGAGCTAGCCTTAAGCTAATAAAGCTCAGGGACGGCGCCCAGGCCCAGAGTTCAAGGCCCAGGACTGGCATAAGACTGATATTCCTTTTTCCACAAAGTATTCTGTGTGCGCGCCCGCACAGACACACACACACACTGGGGCTTGAACTCAGGGCCTGAGCTTCTGTGCTCAGGGCGGGTGAGCTACAATTTGAGCCATAGCTCTACTTCTCCTCTTCTTGAACTCAGGGCCTGGGCACTGTCCCTGAGCTTCTTTTGCTCAAGGCTAGTGCTCTACCACTTGAGCCACAGCTCTGCTTCTGGCTTTTTTTGTGTATGTGGTACTGAGGAATCAAACCCAGGGCTTTATTCATGCTAGATGAGCACTCTACCTCTAAGCCACCTTCCCAGCCTACTTCCCACCTTTTTGGTGCTTAATTAGAGTTAAGGGGCTCACAGGCTTTCTTGCCAGGGCTGGCTTCGAAATCCGATCTCCAGATCTCAGCCTCTTGAGTAGCCAGGATGACGGGCTTGAGCCACAGCGCCTGCCCGTAGGTGTGGGTTTTTTTATTTTTATTTTTTGTGAACATACTGTACAGAGGGGTGACAATTACATGGGCAAGATAATGAGTACATTTCTTATCAAGCATTGCAGCCTCCTCTGTTTACCCTTCACATCTCTTCCCAGCATCCGCCCCCCCCCTCCCACGTAGGTGTGTTTTTTAAAAACTGGTTTGACCCTAAAAGGATCCCCTGAGAAACTCTACTGTTGATGTTCTATGTGAAAACCATTGCACATGGATGTTTTTATTATTGGTACTGATGTTTTTGTTCTCTGTGCAGAGCAATAGCTATCTGGGTGCCTCTGGTAGAATTCGGCCTCAGCTGCAGAACTGGAAGCAGAAAGTTAGTCGCATGAAGAGAGCAGAATTCCTACGCACAGCAGAAAAATTAAAAAATCAGTAAGTATAGCATTACTAGTAATTTGTGTATGGACAACAGAAAATTAATCCAACAGGACCTTACCTACTCCCACATGATTAGAAATATCCTGTCCAGTATAACAGCAGAAAGGCAGGCTTAGATCTGTGGATCACGGTTCAAAGCCAGCCCGGGCCAGAGAGGCTGTGAGACTCATCTCCAGTTAACCACTAGAAAGCCAGAAGTAGAACTGTAGTTCTAAGTGGTAGAGCACTGGCCTGGGGGACAAAAGCTCAGGGACAGGCCCACACCAGGCCTTGAATTCAAGCCCACAACTGAACCCCCCAAAAAAGATTGACACTTGATAATAGACTACTTAATATAGTCTATTTTACCATACTAAAGTAGTATACTTCAAGGACAATACGATAGCTATCTCTTTACATTTTTGTGTATCAACATTTTTCATTTTTTAGCTGTGCTGTACATATTTTAACATTTATTAGTCATATAACAGTTCAAATTACAGTTGATACTCGTGGAACTTAACTCCCTGCTCTTTATTTTGACTAATATTTTGATTCTTGAACTTTGTTAATCAAAGTAATTATTTTCTTATTCTGTAAATGAATTGATCAGAATATAAAGTTGTGATTACCACACACATTTTCATATTTTAAATAATTAAGCATATTTGAGTCAGCCAGGTGGTAGACCCCAAGACTTCAATGAAAAAGCTAAGGGACCACACCCAGGCCCTGAGTTTAGGCCCTAATAGTGGTACTAAAAAGATTTATTTATATATATTTATATATATACATTATATATGTATATATACATATATATACTTAAGTAAATAATCAAACTTGTTAATCTGAATCACTTATACCATTTGTCTCTTTTCCTGAAGGGTTATTATCATAGAAAAAGATAAGTACAGTCATCTCTACAACCAAAAGAGTGACTTCAGAACTGAGCACAATATGCTGGAAGAATTGGAAAACAAATTGATTAACAGCAGGAAAACAGAAAGTAAGTAGAGTTTGATGAACAGAAACGGTTCACGATGAAATCCATCCTTTCCTGCCCGTCCATCTGTGCTGCGTGTTCCGTTGAGTCCTTTGGTTGGTGTTACATGTGTCTTTCAGCTCACTCACTTGACTGGTAGCTTCCATTTTAATAGGAAAGAGAATGGGGGGGAGGGGGTAATTGACTCATCCGTACATGCTATTAAAATCTCTCAGAAGTGGCTTGTGTCCTGGGCTGTCTGACCTTAGCTGGTTCTGGCCGTGGTGACTGGGTTCTGGCTCCCTTAAGCAACACAGATCAGAATGTCTGCTTAGGAGCTGTAGGAAGTAACAGGCCACATGGTTCTGTGTTTCCGCCCCAAGAGAGCTGAACAGAATAAAGTGCCATTGTCCGCACAGGTAAATCTGCCCTGCGTGCTGTGAGATGAAGGCATTCTCAGTGGTGTGCTTAATGCTCACCCGTAGAAATCTGTGATGGTACCTTGTAGACTGCACCCGTGCATGCTGGGAAATCTGTATCAAACTGGTGCTACTTAGCGTTGCTTACGGGAGAGATAAGGGTCCCCAGGCACCTAAGTTTTGTAAAATACTGACCTACTACCGTAGAGATTGCACTGTGTGTGGTACTCTCGCATCACCAGTTCACAGAAATTTCTAGTCATTCTTTCACAGTGCTAGAGCACACTGTTTTAAAAAGTCGCCCAGTCAGAGTGCTCCCGGTCCTCATGTGAGTGCCTTGTTCTGGGCCACCCAGAGCTTCGCCTCACAGATAAGTGGAGACATTGCTGGCCTCGTATTCTTGCATTGCTTTTGCAGAGAAGCAGAACTGCTGGTTGGTGACTCTGAGGCCACTTCACTCCCCCTTTGCAAAGGCGACCTGGACCTCCCATTTCCCTTTGGTAATGACACCTAGGTTTGTCTGAGCCAGGAAGGTTTTCCTTGATGGAATTCCCAGGTTGTACGTTTTAAAGGATAGAGCCAAGCTGGAGTTGTGGCTGTTTCTTTGGAGGCTGATTGTGCTTCCCTGGCTCAGGCTGCAGCCTGGCTCAGTGTGCGGGGCCTGCACCCGGGCCTGGCTTTCATCCTCAGTGCCACCAAAGGGGAAAAGAAATTGTAAGGAGTTTTGGATTGAACTGTTAGGGTGCTTGGGGTTCATTTGTGAAAAATTGCAAAAGCAGAAAAAAAGAGAGTGCATAAAATACCTAAAGATGTACAACGCTGTTGCTGCTGTGTGACTCTGTATGTATGAAGGTGACTATGAGCTACACCGGCTACTGTAAAGAAATGTTACCATTATTAGTTTAGGAAAAAACCAAGGAAGGAGGACTGGGAACGTGGCTCAGTGGTAGAGCGCTCGCCTAACATGCACAGAGCCCTGAGTTTGATTCCTCAGTACCACATAGAAAAAGCCAGAAGTAGCACTGTGGCTCAAGTAGTCAAGTGCTAGCCTTGAGTAAAAGAAGCTCAGGGACAGTGCCTAGACCCTGAGTTCAAGCCCCAGGACTGCCCCCTCCCCCCCAAAAATGGAAGAAGAATCCAGTCAGCTTCCTGCTGGCAAAGACCACATGGGAAGGCCTCAACACCCCTTGTCTATGAGGCTTTTGTTCTGGACCTCGCATTTTACTTCAGGCCGGTCCTTTGATTGAGCTTGTATGCCAGACACACCTCCTGGGGCCTTGACCCTGATTTCACTCACGATTGTAGAGGATGTGTTCAGATTAAGGTGATGGCAATAGGTTTATCAGTATTAATACAATTGCTGGTCACATAGTTCTAGTATGTCTACAATAGTGCTAAGAGTTCTAGTTCTATAATGCAAAACAAAAATGATTTTAAAGAACAAAGGACGATGAGCTTCAAGTTACTGATCAAGCATTTAAAACCCTGTCCGATAACTCAGTCTCCACAGAGGAGCAGCCAGCCCGCTTCCCTCAAGCAGCGAGTAGTGAAGGTCGCTGTCCTTTCAGACAGGGAGGAACGCGAGAGGAGCTCTGTCCTGCCTCGCCCTGTGCTTCCTTTCCTCGGTGACGGGTCGCCTGTGCACAACCCCAGCTGTCACACTTGTCACAGAACTGCTTACAGGAGTGTATTTCTTCCTTACAGGAGCAAAAATCCAGCAGCAATTAGCCAAAATACACAACAACGTCAAGAAGCTTCAGCATCAGTTGAAAGATGTGAAGCCCACCCCTGATTGTAAGTGAACTGAAACGTTGGCATCTTTCTCACCTACTGCTATTTCTAACTACTCACTTAAGAAAATGTGCTTTTCTAATAAGATAGATATTTCTCTCTTTAAAAAAAACAAACGGCTGGGCTGGGAAGGTGGCTCAGTGGTAGAGCGCTCGCCTTGCACGCTCAAGGCCCTGGGTTCGATTCCTCAACACCACATAAGAAAAAAGCCGGAAGTGGCGCTGTGGCTCAAGTGGTAGAGCGCTAGCCTTGAGCTGAAGAACTGAGGGACAGCGCCCAGGCCCAGAGTTCAGGCCCCACAACCGGACCCCCCAAAAAAAAATTGGCTTTAATGCAACAAAACTCTGTTTAAATGATTGGGGATTAGTAAGGAAGCACAAGAGGTTTCTAAAGTGTTTTAAAAAGTTTTTTAACCTTTACGTGCTGCTAAATCTTGTACAAGTATAAGACAGAAGGCCAATGCCTGTGGCTCATGCCTATAATCCTAGCTACTTGGACTGCCAAAATCCAGAGGGGCATGACTCAGAGCCAGCCCAGGCAGAAAGCTCTACAAGAGTCCATCCTGAGAATTACCAGCCAGAAGCCAGGTTGGAGGTTTTTGCTCAAGTGGTAGAACATCAGTCAAGCAAGTAAGCCAGCTGAGCAAATGTAAACCCAAGTTCAAACCCTAAGGAAGGAAGAAAGGAAGGAAAGAATGGGAGGGGAGAGAGGGAAGAAGGAGGGAGGAAGGGAGGGAGGACAGAGACTAGTTCATTTGTGAGGTGGAAAGCATGAGGTACAGCTAATTAAGAGGAAAAAAAGAGGCCAAATGCTGGTGACTCACGCCTGTCATCCTAGCTACTCAAGAGGCTGAGATCTGAGGATCGCAGTTCAAAGCCGGCCTGGTCAGGAAAGTCTGAGGCTCTTCTCTCCAATTAATCACCAAGTGTTATAAAGTGCACTGTGAAGGATAGTGCCCAGAACTTGAGTTCAAGTCTCAAAACAGACAAACACCAAAAACAGACAAAAAACATACATGATAAGGGCTCTTTCAAGAGGTGAGTGGATATATCTATGAGAAAATTTAACCACCACATTTGTCTGATGCAAACTGCAGGTCAAACAACAGTTTGCTAAGTAGGAAATACTTTTTTATTAAAAAAAATTAATTGTAACATTTAATGATATGTATGTTTGGGAAAAAAGTTGTAATGAGAAATGGCAGCCAGGCGCCGGTGGCTCACTCTTGTCATCCTATCTACTTAGGAGACTGAGATCTGAGGATCCTGGTTCAAAGCCAGCCTGGGAGGAAGAGTCTGTGGGACTCTTATCTCCAATTAATCACTCCAAAACCAGAAGTGGTAGAGCGCTGGCCTTGAGCTGAAGAACTCAGGGACAGTGCCCAGACCCAGAGTTCAAGCCCCATGACTGATAAAAAGAAAAAAATTGCAGTAAAAAAATTTGCTTTTGGGGCTGGGATTGTGGCTTAGTGGTAGAGTGCTTGCCTACTGTGCATGAAGCCCTGAGTTCAATTCCTCAGTACCACATAAACAGAAAAGGCCTGGAAGTGGTGTTGTAGCTCAAGTGGTAGAGCGCTAGCCTTGAGCAAAAGAAGCTCAGGGACAGTGCCCAGGCCTTGAGTTCAAACCCCAGGACTGGCAAAAAAAATTTTTTTAAAATTTTGAACAGAGTTTTCTTAATTGCTTAAGAAATGTTTTTTTTTTTGGGTCCGGTCGTGGGGCCTGAACTCTGGGCCTGGGCGCTGTCCCTCAGCTCTTCAGCTCAAGGCTAGCGCTCTACCACTTGAGCCACAGCGCCACTTCCGGCTTTTTTTTTTTCTTTTTGCTTATGTGGAGCTGAGGAATCGAACGCAGGGCCTCAGGCATGCAAGGCAAGCGCTCTACCACTGAGCCACCTTCCGAGCCCCAAGAAATGTTTTTTTTTTTTTTTTTGGGTCCGGTCGTGGGGCCTGAACTCTGGGCCTGGGTGCTGTCCCTCAGCTCTTCAGCTCAAGGCTAGCGCTCTACCACTTGAGCCACAGCGCCACTTCCGGCTTTTTTCTTTTTGCTTATGTGGTGCTGAGGAATCGAACCCAGGGCCTCTGGCATGCAAGGCAAGCGCTCTACCACTGAGCCACCTTCCCAGCCCCAAGAAATGTTTTTAAATTAGGGAACATCTTGGGCTGGGAAGGTGGCTCAGTGGTAGAGCGCTTGCCTTGCATGCCTGAGGCCCTGGGTTCCATCCCTCAGCACCACATAAGCAAAAAGAAAAAAAGCCGGAAGTGGCGCTGTGGCTCAAGTGGTAGAGCGCTAGCCTTGAGCTGAAGAGCTGAGGGACAGCACCCAGGCCCAGAGTTCAGGCCCCAAAACCGGACCCCCCCCCCAAAAAAAAAAGTTAGGGAACATTTTTTTTTCCTCCTCAACTTCAACTTGGCCATCCTGAAACATGACAAGAAAATAACCATTTTCCCATGGACTTTCTTTGTTTTTACAGTTGTTGAAAAGCTCAGAGAAATGATGGAAGAAATTGAAAACGCAATGAATACTTTTAAAGAAGAGCAAAGGCTGATGTATGTGCAACCTCATTTTCATATGGAACAGTGGCCTGCTGACTTTGCATCATTCACCAATAGGTCCTTGTATATCATGAGTCTCACATCAATGCAAAGTGGCCCCTGTCTGTCCCTTAGGGTTTAGATGGCTAGAAGGGGACATATTTGGCTTTTTTTTTTTTTTTAATTCCCAAGGGGAGCAGGCTTGTTTTGAAGACTCAGATTTGCATTGGTGTCACCTGGAGGGGTCCCATAGTTCAGTTTTGAGGGGAATGAAGGGTTAAGGTGGACCGGCCATATCTTCTTCCCCAAGTTTCGTTTGTCTTCTGTTGCAGATACGAAAAGCTTATTAAGGAAGAGAGAACCACTAACAACGAGTTGAGCGCCATCTCACGAAAGATTGACACTTGGGCTTTGGGGAATTCAGAAACAGAGAAAGCTTTCCGCGCCATCTCAAGCAAAGTGGCGGTGGACAGAGTGGCGGCCAGTACCCTTCCGGCGGAGGTGGTGGAGTTTGAAAAATTCCTCCAGCAGACAGGAGGGCGCCTGGGGGGCTGGGATGAGTGTGACCACCAGAACTTCCTGCGCATCCGGAACAAGCACAGGGGGAAGGCCGCCTTCACGCGGGAGGCTCTGCAGCACCTGCCGGGAAGGACGCAGGAGGAGGTGGAGCTGCACGAGCAGTGGTTCCAGAAGTTCCTGGCCCTGGAAGAAAAGAAGAAAAAGGTGAGGATGAGATTAATGGCAAACTCTCACTGGGTTTCTGTGTTGTGGGAGGGTGCTATACTCAGAACAACAACCTGTGAAGTACGCCTGTGGCACTGACAAGCAGACTTGTCCTGCCAGTGTTTCTAGCCCACGAATCACACAGCGGGACATAGAATGTCTGATAGTCCACTTCCCTGCTCAGATTTGCTCAGACTTGTGAAACAAGTCTGCTTCACCAGCCAGGACTGTGCTACTCGGGAGAGGAAAAGCAAGAGGCTGTCGGGAAAAATGCTCCACTGTTACAGGCTTTGAGTTTTTTGTTTCGTTGTTGGTTGTGGGGCTTGAACTCTGGGCCTGGGCGCTGTCCCTCAGCTCTTCAGCTCAAGGCGAGCGCTCCACCACTTGAACCACAGTACCACTTCTGGTTTTCTGAATGGTTTTTATTGGAGATAAGAGTCTCATGGACTTCCCTGCCCAGGCTAGCTTTGAACCAAGATCCTCAGATCTCAGCCTCCTGAGTAACTAGGATGACAGGCGTGTGCCACTGGCACCCGACCTCTTTTAAGATTTTTGACTCACACTTCATTACCCATATTAAAGACTCACAGTTTGGCTATCCCAGATTTTTTTTTTTTTTTTTTTGTCGGTCGTGGGGTTTGAACTCTGGGCCTGGGCGCTGTCCCTCAGCCCTTCAGCTCAAGGCGAGCTCTCTACCACTTGAGCTACAGCGCCACTTCCGGTTTTCTGGTGGTTTATTGGAGATAGGAGTCTCACGGTCTCTCCTGCCCGGGCTGGCTTTGAACCACGATCCTCAGATCTCAGCCTCCTGAGTAGCTAGGATGACAGGCGTGAGCCACCAGCGCCCGGCCGTGATTTTTTTTTTTTTTTAAGTAACCTTGGATTAAAGCCAATTCTCCCCAAGTTCCATTTGCATGAAGGTCCTGGATGGCGTTGGCTGACGGGGTGGTAGGTAGCATCCCTTCCTCCAGCTGCTGAGCCCTTCCTCTGGTTATCAAAACAGCTCTGGTTCCTGAAACTACAGCACAGCCTAGCATGCGCAGGCTCTGGGTTCAGTGCCTAGCAACACGCACGCACATGCACACTCACTCTATAACCATCAAATTCCCTTGGGAGCAAAAGGAAAAATCTGTTCTGGTTGAAAACCAGGGGCTTATATAATCTATTATCTAAAAGTCTGACTTCTGTCCTGGGGTTTGAACTCAAGGCCTGGCGCTGTCCCTGAGCTGCTTTATTTTGCTCAAGGTGAGCACTCTACCACTTGAGCCACCGTGCCACTTCTGGCTTTTTCTGTTTATGCTTTTTCTGGAATGGAACCCAGGGCTTCATGCATGCTAGGTGAGCTCTCTATCACTAGGCCACATTCCCAGCCCTGACTTCTTTATTTGCTTAGTAAGAAATGTATCTGTTCAGCCCGGCGCCGGTGGCTCACACTGTTATCCTAGCTACTCAGGAGGCTGAGATCTGAGGATTGCGGTTCAAAGCCAGCTCGGGCAGGAAAGTCTGTGAGACTCTTATCTCCAATAAACCACCAGAAAACTGAAAGTGGTGCTGTGGCTGAAGAGCTGAGAGACAGCACCCAGGCCCAGAGTTCAAGACCCACAACCAACAACAAAAGAAAAGAAAAGCAATGCATCTGCTCACAGATGATGAAACTGGAGTAATAAAGAAATACGGACTTAGCTGGGCACCCATGGCTCACACCTGTCATCCTAGCTACTCAGGAGGCTGAGATCTGAGGATCATGGTTCAAAGCCAGCCTGGGCAGGAAAGCTCCTGAGACTCTTATCTCCAGGGAACCAGAAAAATGCCCGAAGTGTAGATGTGGACTCAAGTGGGCTTTGCCCATGCCCTGAGTTCAAGCCCCAGGTCCAGCACCAAAAAGAAAGAAATGTAGACTGTTACCAATTCCATTTTTGAAGGTTTAGAGGAAGTAGCAGGGTTTGTGTTGTTCTGGTTGCTCTCTGTCTCTCTGGCCCCCCCCCTCCAGTATGCTGATTGTAGAAAGTTTGGCTTGGGGAATTTTTTGGAACGATTTTGTGAAGCATACGCCAGTTTATAAAGATGAAGCACACGCTCTCCCCGCCAGGCTCCCCTGTCCCACGCTGTTGCTCTTGCTGGCGGCCGCTGCGCGCAGGGCTGAGGTGGAGGCGGTGGTAGAGCATGTGGAGTACTGGCGGAGGGAGGCCGTGGAGTGGGGAGATGGAGCCAAGTTGGAATCTGTGGAATCATAAGACATCAAGGGGAGCCAACCACCTCTGTCCCTCACCTTCTGCCTAGACATGATCTTCAGACATGCGTGGATTTTGTGCGTGCCCTTGAGTGTCTCCTTAACTGTCTGTTCCTCTCCACCCCACCTCTACACACATCGGCCTATCCAACAGAAGCAGGGAGCCCAGCAGCCATGGATATTTGTTTTAGGCCATTTTAGTGACACACGGTGCCATGCTACATCATACCACACCTGGAAACAGGGCTGCTCCCACTTGGTCCCCAGACCCGATGTCCAGTCTGCAAAATCCTGCAGGTGGACAGAGAGGTGATTCCTTGAGATGCGTGTTGTGCCCCTTAATTGACTTTTTTTTTTGGTTGGTTGTGGGTCTTGAACTCTGGGCCTGGGCGCTGACCCTTTTCAGCTCAAGGTGAGCGCTCTACCACTTGAGCCACAGCACCACTTCTGGTTTTCTGGTGGTTCATTGGAGGTAAGAGTCTCATAGCCTTTCCTGCCCAGGCTGGCTTTGAACTGTGATCCTCAGATCTCAGCCTCCTGAGTAACTAGGGCAACAGGCGTGAGCCATAGCTCCCTGTTGACTTTTTTATTTTATTTATTTATTTTTTGGGTCCGGTTGTGGGGCTTGAACTCTGGGCCTGGGCGCTGTCCCTCAGCTCTTCAGCTCAAGGCTAGCGCTCTACCACGTGAGCCACAGCGCCACTTCCGGCTTTTTTCTTTTTGCTTATGTGGTGCTGAGGAATCGAACCCAGGGCCTCAGGCATGCAAGGCAAGTGCTCTACCACTGAGCCACCTTCCCAGCCCCAGACTTTTTTTTTTTAATAGAAAATTTTCTCACTGAAGGAGGAAATGCATTGATTCATTGTGACATGAATTCCTGACATTGAGGACCAGAATTCGAGAAACACTGAATTAGATAGCATTTCGTTTTAATCACCTATGGATATATGTTCAATAAGGGAGGGAGGAGGGAAGGAAAGGGAAACAGTTTCTTGGGAGGGAAGTTATGCAGTATAAATATATCCTAGAGAAGGCTGGTAGAATTTGAAAGGATCTTTACAAACCTGTACTTGGAGCACTGACTATTACTTTTTCTCTGTATGGGTACTGGGGCTTGAACTCAAAGCCAGGGTGCTCTGTCCCTTAGCTTTTTCCACTCAGGCTGGTGCTCTACCACTTGAGGCACAGCTCTACTTCTGGCTTTTTGGTGGTTCATTGGAGATAAGAGTCTGATGAAGAGCTGGGAAGGTGGCTCAGTGGTAGAGCGCTTGCCTTGAATGCATGAGGCCCTGGGTTCGATTTCTCAGCACCACATAAGCAGAAAAAGCCGAAAGTGGCGCTGTGGCTCAAGTGGTAGAGTGCTAGCCTTGAGCTGAAGAGCTGAGGGAGAGTGCCCAGGCCCAGAGTTCAGGCCCCATGACCAACAGCAACAACAAAAAGAGTCTCTTCCTACCAAGGTTTGCTTCAAACTGTGATCCTCAGATCTGATGCCCAAGTTTATAAGATGACAGATGTTGCCAGGTGGTTTTTGTTGTTGCTGTTGTTATTTTTGTGTTTGTTTGTTTTAACACTCTCCAACCCTGTATGCCATGCCCTTTGGAGATGAGCAGGATGAAGAAGACCACATCTAGTGAGCAGCGTGGCCAGGCTTTGGTTTCAGGTAGTCTGGCTACAGGGATCATGTTCTTGACCACCCTACCTCTAATTCCTCTCCTGATACTTGACCATCCAGAAGGTTCTCTCTGCAGTGGAAGGCCACATGGAGGCGACAATGAGACACAGGGAAGGAGAGAGAGGAAGAGATGCACATGGCACTGTGGCCTTGACCTCCCGAGGATGGAGAGGAAAGGAGGGAAGCCGAGGGTAGTCCATTCTTCATGGTTTTTAAAAGTATAGTGATTTTTTTTTTTTTTGGTGCTGAGGAATCGAACCCAGGACTTCATGCATGCTAGGCAAGCGCTCCACAACTGAGCCGCATGCCCAGCCCTGTCCCTGAGCTTTTATGCTCAAGGCTAGCACCACCACTTTAGTCACAGCTCCACTCCCAATTTTTTTTTTTTGTACTTGGAGGTAAGAGTCTCACAGACTTTCCTGTCCAAGCTGGCTTTGACCTTTTATCCTAGGATCTCGATCTCCTGAGTAGCTAGGATTACAGGTGTGAGCCACAAGTGGCCAGCTGGGTGTAGTGATTTTTCTTTTAACAGAGGAAAATAGGAAAACAGTTGCCATTGGTTCAAAACAAAACAGAAAGCAGAGCAGCCAGATCCAGTAATCAATATTCTTTCTAAAAATAATGGGTTTGAGGTTGTATCTCAAAATACTGAAGGTTATTTAAAAACATTTCTATCTTTTTTTAAAAAAATCATTTAGTCTATTCAGAATTGGAAAACTAAAAAACAGCAAAAAAAGGAAGAACTCATCAAGTTAAAAGAAAACCCAGACATGGTGCCTGTTACTGCTTCTAACAAACCGGAAGATCATGAAAAGCACAAAGAGGATCAAAGAAAGAGACAGAAAATGGCGGTTGAAGCTTGGAGAAGACAGAAGAGCCTGGAGCTGTCGATGAAGTCGGCCTCGCAGCTGAAAGAGGAGGAGGAGAGGGAGAAGCGGCAGCAAAGGGCACGCCAGCGCCAGCTCAAACTCAGACTCCTGCTGGAGAGTTACACCCAGCAGAAGAAAGAGCAGGAAGAGTTTCTGCGGCTTGAAAAGGAGACAAGGGAGAAAGCAGAAAAGGCAGAGAGAAAGAAAATCGCTGCTGATGAAATTTCCAGGTTTCAAGAAAGAGTGAGTGGGCTGGGAAGATGGCTCAGTGGTAGAATGCTTGCCTTGCATGCCTGAGGCCCTGGGTTCCATTCCTCAGCACCACATAAGCAAAAAGAAAAAAGCCGGAGTGGCGCTGTGGCTCAAGTGGTAGAGCGCTAGCCTTGAGCTGAAGAGCTGAGGGACAGCACCCAGGCCCAGAGTTCAGGCCCCATGACCAGACCCAAAAAAAAAAAAGAGTGAGTAAATGTATTTGAACTCAGGGCCTCAGGCTTGGGAGGCAGAGCTCTATCTACCCCATAAAACAAAACTGCCAGGCCCCCGAATGATCTTTACAGGCCACACACACACAGGCATTACTTCCAGCTTCTGGTCCACAAAAGTAAATTGAGTTGGGTGCCACTGGCTCATGCCCATAGACCATAGCCTCTCAGGAGGCTGAGATCTGAGGATCTTGGTTCAAAGCCAACCCAGACAGGAAAGTCTATGAGACTCTTATCTTCAATTAGCCAGCAAAAAGCCAGAAGTGGAGCTGTGACTCAAGAGGTAGAGGGCCCAACTTGAATGAAAAAGCTGAAAGAGAGTTCCCTGGCCCTGAGTTCAAGCCCTAGTACCAGCAGAAGGTAACTGCTGTGGTGACAGGTGTGGCCCAATGCAGAAGGGGGTGGGGAGGGGTTGGGGGGGTTGGGGGTGTCTGCCTGATGAAGAAGAAAGAGAGATGGTCCTGGCAGTGGGGGCGCTGTATGACATGTGCGGCAGTACTATCCAGCCACAAAGAAAGGGAGGCGCAGAGAAAAATACATTCCTAGTAGAAATGGTGCTTTCTCTCTTTGAAGCCTTTTTTTTTTTTTCTTTTGGTGCTGGTCCTGGGGTTTGAATTCAGGGTCTGGGCACTGCCCCTGACCTTTTGTGCTCTAGGCTAGTGCTCTACCACTGGAGCCACCACGCTGCTGCTTGAGTAGTTTATTTGAAATAAGAGTCTCCACATAACAGAAAAAGCCAGAAGTGGCGCTGTGGCTCAAGTGGTAGAGCGCTAGCCTTGAGCTGAAGAGCTGAGGGACAGCGCCCAGGCCCAGAGTTCAGGCCCCACGACTGACCAAAAAAAGAAAAAAGAAAAAAAAAGAGTTTCCACAGACCTTGCCCCAGCTGGCTTCTAACTACAGTTCCCAGATCTCAGCCTCCCAATGAGGGTGACAGCTGTGAGACACCAGCTTGCTTTCCGTTTCTTCATAAAAGTTCTATCGAATGAATAGCAGGAGATCCCAGGCCTCCCCGCTCTCCCGGAAGCGAAGCAGGCCATGTAATAAAAGACAAACAACAAACAAAGTGGAGCATTCAGTGACTGATGTACAGCTAGATGGGTTTGTGTTGATAAGTGCGCCTCTCCCAGGAGACGGAGCCTGAGCCTGTGAGCAGGACCAAGGACAGCTCCCAAGGGTGGGGGAGGCCTGCTGCGGCCCATCGCACTTCAGGGCCCTTAGCTTGCGCACAGCTAACACTGAGGCAGATCCTAACACTGTTTTCTTCTCTTTCTGTTGGTATTATTTTAGGATTTACACAAACTCGAGTTGAAAATTCTAGATAGACTGGCAAAGGAAGACGAAAAGGCAGAAAAACAAAGAAGGCTGACCAAATTAAAAGAAAAGGTACTCAGTTCTGAGATTTTGGGTATTTTTTTTTTTTTTTTGCCGGTCCTGGGGCTTGAACTCTGGGCCTAGGTGCTGTTCCTCAGCTCTTCAGCTCAAGACAAGTGCTCTACTACTTGAGCCACAGCGCCACTTCCAGTTTTCTGATGGTTTATTGGAGAGTCTCACGGACTTTCCTGCCTGGGCTGGCTTTGAACCGCAGTCCTCAGTGTCCTGACTAGCTGGGATGACAGACAGCCAGACACCGGAGCCCAGCTCTTGCGAACTTTCTTGTCCAAGCTGGCCTCCCCACTTTGAGCCCTCTGATCTCAGCCTCCCAGATAGCTGGGATTACAGGAGTACGCCACTGGGTTGCTCAGCTAGCTGTACCTCATCCTCTATGTCGACTTTCCCTTTCTTATTTGTTTACATATTTGAAAGCAGCTATTGTTTGAATTCCACCATTGTACATGAGCAAGCAGCTTTTCTTCCTCCCTGAATTATTTCGCCCTTCCTACGTGTCGTTCTTAACTGTATGTGCCTGTGTTTTGTGTCTACGGTGGTATGCTCAGAACAGAGTGTGCTAGAGCCTTTACAGGCCAAGTAGACACTCAGTGATCGTTTTTCACCATTCATTTACTGTGTGATTGGATCACCATTATGCTTTTCCAAAATAGAATCAGATAATAGAAAAGTAAACACCTGGTTTATTGATAAATACACGTAGCCCAAATTTTATTTCAGCTACATGAGCACAATTAGAAGTTCGTTATGAACAAGTCACTTTTTAGCTGATAACAAGTATGTTCCATACTGCTGCTGCAGGTCTCACTCGTGTAATAGAAATAAATTTATTTCCTGAAAGTTAACTAGCCCTACTTTACTTCTGATTACAGGTTGAGAATAATGTCAGCAGAGATCCCTCCAGGCTTTACAAAGCTACTAAAGGTTGGGAAGAACGAACCAAAAACATAGGACCGACAGGCTCTGGGCCGCTTCTTCATATCCCACATAGGTAAAAGGTGTTAGAGACTCATCTACACAGCATGGCTGTGTTGTAAGCGATTTCCTCCTGCACAGAGCCCCGCTGCTATACAGCAGCAGAGTGATAAAAGCAAATATATATATATATATTTTTTTTTCTTTTTTTTGGGTCTGGTCGTGGGGCTTGAACTCTGGGCCTGGGCGCTGTCCCTCAGCTCTTCAGCTCAAGGCTAGTGCTCTACCACTTGAACCACAGCGCCACTTCCGGCTTTTTCTGCTTATGTGGTGCTGAGGAATCGAACCCAGGGCCTCATGCATGCGAGGCCAGCGCTCTACCACGGAGCCACCTTCCCAGCCCCATATCTCTATTTTTAAGCTACTGTATCATCAGTTTTTTTCCCTCCCCCTGCATAGGTACAGTAATTGCTATTTTCTGCTCCTAGGGCAATTCCAACCTGGAGACAAGGAATGAAGGGAACCCCCTGAGCCGGCGGGGTCCCTGCGTGCGCGGCGCAGGGCCGCCGTGGGCTGCAGGCGGCCGGCCGGGTCAGGTTGGTGGTTCGGCCGGTGCGGGCCCGGGCCGGTGCGGGCCAGGGCCGGTGCGGGCCCGGGCTGGCCCCAGCTCGCTCGCCAGGCCCTGCTTCCACCCGGAGAGCACCTGCCAGTGTGCACCGGCCTCTCCGGACGCCAGCGACTGACTGAAATACGGCCGTTACTCCATTCAAATGCCCAGGACGGCGCGGGACGTGGGGTTCTCCTCCTGGCACGGCAGACGGCCTGGACGCCGGCTGGGCGTGTTGCAGAGCCGCTCGTGTGCACCTCTAGCTCGGCAGCGCGTCCGCTCGAGGATCGGCAGGAGGCGGGGCCACTGAGTGAACGCTCTGTGCCTGCGTTATTAAACCGCTGTGCCTCCGCCCGGTGCCCTGTGCTTGCCCGCGCACGCGCGCTGCGGCCGCGGCCGGCGTCCTGCGGCGTCCCCCCCCCCCCCCCGCTCCCCGCCCCCCCTTCATTTGCCGTCCAGCCCGGGCGGAAGTGGCCCGGAAGGGCTCCTCGGCCCGCCCAGGCGCCGGGGCGGGCCGGGCTCCGCGGGCCCCTCCACGCGGGCGGGAAGGCCGCGCCCGCGCAGGGCTCGGGCCTCCCGCGCGGGAAGCGCGCTGCGGGCGCCCGGGACCCGCCGGGCGGCGGGAGGGGCGGGGCCGGGCGGCGGACTTCCCACCAGGCCGTCGCGCGGCCCCGCCCCCGACGAGTGCTTCCGGGTCGCGGCGGGGGTCTCACTTCCGGAGCAAGATGGCGGCCACGGAGGACGAGCGGCTGGCGGCGGGCGGGGATGGCGAGCGGCTGGACTTCCTGCGGGACCGGCACGTGCGGTTCTTCCAGCGCTGCCTCCAGGTCCTGCCCGAGCGCTACTCTTCGCTGGAGACCAGCAGGTGGGCGCCGCGGGGAGCGGGGAGCGGGGAGCGGGGCCGGCGGGGAGCGGGGCCGGCGGGGAGCGGGGAGCGGGGCCGGCGGGGAGCGGGGCCGGCGGGGAGCGGGGAGCGGGGCCGGCGGGGAGCGGGGAGCGGGGAGCGGGGCCGGCGGGGAGCGGGGCCGGCGGGGAGCGGGGAGCGGGGCCGGCGGGGAGCGGGGAGCGGGGCCGGCGGGGAGCGGGGAGCGGGGCCGGCGGGGAGCGGGGAGCGGGGAGCGGGGAGCGGGGAGCGGGGCCGGCGGGGAGCGGGGAGCGGGGAGCGGGGAGCGGGGAGCGGGGCCGGCGGGGAGCGGGGAGCGGGGAGCGGGGAGCGGGGCCGGCGGGGAGCGGGGAGCGGGGAGCGGGGCCGGCGGGGAGCGGGGAGCGGGGAGCGGGGAGCGGGGCCGGCGGGGAGCGGGGCCGGCGGGGAGCGGGGCCGGCGGGGAGCGGGGAGCGGGGAGCGGGGCCGGCGGGGAGCGGGGAGCGGGGAGCGGGGAGCGGGGAGCGGGGAGCGGGGCCGGCGGGGAGCGGGGAGCGGGGCCGGCGGGGAGCGGGGCCGGCGGGGAGCGGGGAGCGGGGCCAGCGGGGAGCGGGGCCAGCGGGGAGCGGGGCCGGCGGGGAGCGGGGCCGGCGGGGAGCGGGGAGCGGGGAGCGGGGCCGGCGGGGAGCGGGGAGCGGGGAGCGGGGCCGGCGGGGAGCGGGGCCGGCGGGGAGCGGGGAGCGGGGAGCGGGGAGCGGGGAGCGGGGAGCGGGGAGCGGGGCCGGCGGGGAGCGGGGCCGGCGGGGAGCGGGGCCGGCGGGGAGCGGGGCCGGCGGGGAGCGGGGCCGGCGGGGAGCGGGGAGCGGGGAGCGGGGAGCGGGGCCGGCGGGGAGCGGGGAGCGGGGCCGGCGGGGAGCGGGGAGCGGGGAGCGGGGAGCGGGGAGCGGGGAGCGGGGCCGGCGGGGAGCGGGGCCGGCGGGGAGCGGGGCCGGCGGGGAGCGGGGCCGGCGGGGAGCGGGGCCGGCGGGGAGCGGGGAGCGGGGAGCGGGGCCGGCGGGGAGCGGGGCCGGCGGGGAGCGGGGAGCGGGGCCGGCGGGGAGCGGGGAGCGGGGAGCGGGGCCGGCGGGGAGCGGGGAGCGGGGCCAGCGGGGAGCGGGGCCGGCGGGGAGCGGGGCCGGCGGGGAGCGGGGAGCGGGGAGCGGGGCCGGCGGGGAGCGGGGAGCGGGGAGCGGGGCCGGCGGGGAGCGGGGAGCGGGGCCAGCGGGGAGCGGGGAGCGGGGAGCGGGGCCGGCGGGGAGCGGGGCCAGCGGGGAGCGGGGAGCGGGGAGCGGGGCCGGCGGGGAGCGGGGAGCGGGGCCAGCGGGGAGCGGGGCCGGCGGGGAGCGGGGAGCGGGGCCGGCGGGGAGCGGGGCCGGCGGGGAGCGGGGAGCGGGGCCAGCGGGGAGCGGGGCCAGCGGGGAGCGGGGCCGGCGGGGAGCGGGGAGCGGGGCCGGCGGGGAGCGGGGCCGGCGGGGAGCGGGGCCGGCGGGGAGCGGGGCCAGCGGGGAGCGGGGAGCGGGGAGCGGGGCCGGGCGGGGGGAAGAGAGCGAAGCACGGCCCCTGTCCTCGCGGAGGTCCCCGTACCGCACCCCGGAGAGGCCTGTTGGGGAGCCCCGGCGGTAGAGCCCTCTGATGGGTGCAGGCCCCGGCTCAGGCCGTGGGCCGTAGGCACTGGGGTGCGCAGACGTGCCCGGCCATCGTATTGACACTCTGACTTGTGAACTCCCAGACATTTGAATAAAGTCTGACCTTTTAGCCCAGCGCCAGGGGCTCGCGCCTGTCATCCCAGCTACTCAGGAGGCTGAGATTTGAGGATCGCGGTTCAAAGCCAGCCCAGACAGGAAAGTCTATAAGACTCTTACCTCCAATAACCCACCAGAACACCAGAAGTGGCACTGTGGCTCAAGGGGTAGAGCGCTCACCTTGAGCTGAAGAGCTGAGGGACAGCGCCCAGGCCCAGAGTTCAAGACCCACAACCAACAAAACAAAAAACCCTGCTCTTTTGTTAAGTTGTATTTTCGAGTCACATTCTGCTTACAGCTGTAGTTACAGGTCTATGACTTTATTTTCAAAATGCCAGAGTTTTGCCCTGTAAATTTCCAGGTTTATGAAACCCTGTAAAAGAATACAAAGTGGGGCGGGGGGGGGGCAAGTGCTAGCCTTGAGCTGAAAAGCTGAGGGACCGTCCAGGCCCAGAGTTCAAGCCCCACCACTGACAAAAAGAAAGAAAAAAAGTACAAATGGTGTAATCTTTGCTCATAAGCCTGATTAAGTGAATAGAGAAATTGTATGGGGCTGGGAAGGTGGCTTAGTGGTAGAGCGCTTGCCTTGCATGCATGAGGCCCTGGGTTCAATTTCCCAGCACCACGTAAGCAAAACAAAAGCTGGAAATGGCGCTGTGGCTCAAGTGGTAGAGCACTCGCCTTGAGCTGAAGAGCTTAGGGACAGCTCCCAAGCCCAGAGTTCAGGCCCCAGGACCAAACCCACCCCCACCCCCCAAAAAAAAGAGAGAAATTGTATGACTTAATGAATTTTTACTTATTTATTTGTCAGTCATGGAGCTTGAACTCGGGACCTGGGTGCTGTCACTGAGCTCTTCAGCTCAAGGCCAGCACTCTACTGCTTGAGCCACAGCACCACTTCTGGTTTTCTGGTGGTTCATTGGAGATAAGAGTCTCATAGACTTTCCTATCCAGGCTGTCTTTGAACCACAATCCTCATATCTCAGCCTCCTGAGTAGCTAGGATGACAGGGTGAGTCACCTGGGCCAGGCTTGACTTAATGAGTTTAGTAGTTCATTTTTATTATAGGTCTAGGATTGACACCAACCATTGAATATTAGAGGATAGATATGTTGCATCCTGGTACATTAATAAAGAGATGAGTATTTATATATTTTCTCTCCCTCCTCTGTCCTCCTGCCTAAGACCTCATCTTGCTGTATAGACTGACCAGTGCACCCAGACTCTCTAGTGCCAAGATTACAGGCATCTGCCACACTGAATTTTAAAATCATTTTTAGTTTCCTATGGCTTATTTTTAAGAAATAACTGGATGGATCGCATTAGGTCGTTTATTTTTTTCTTATGTTTTTGTCTTGAAGGATTCACAGTCTTACCTGTGGTTACACTATGTTTTTTTTGTTGGTTTTGGTTTTTGTTTTGTTTTTGATCATGGGGCTTGAACTCCAGGCCTGGGTGCTGTCCTTCAACTCATCAGCTCAAGGCAAGCACTCTACTACTTGAGCCACAGCAACACTTCCGGTTTTCTGGTGGTTTATTGGAGATCAGAGTCTCATGGACTTTCCTGCCCTGGCTGGCTTTGAACCATGATCCTCAGATCTCAGCCTCCTGAGTAGCTAGGATGACAGGCAGGTGCCACCAATGCCTGGCTTACACTGTTTTTTTGTGATATTTGTGATTTATAATTAAGATTGTGTTGCACAAAATCACAACCTTTTGGTCACAAAATATCTTGAGTTTTTTGGGGTCGGGTCGTGGGGCCTGAACTCTGGGCCTGGGCGCTGTCCCTAAGCTACGCTACCACTTGAGCCACAGCGCCACTTCCGGCTTTTTTCTTTTTGCTTATGTGGTGCTGAGGAATCGAACCCAGGGCCTCATGCATGCAAGGCAAGCGCGCTACCACTGAGCCACTTTCCCAGCCCCCATCTTAAGAGTTTTTTTGTCGATCATGGAGTTTAACTTTGGTCTTGGGAGCTGTCCCTCAGCTCTTCAGCTCAAGGCAAGCACTCTACCTTGAGCCACAGCGCCACTTCCAGTTTTCTAGTGGTTCATTGGAGATAAGAGTCTCACAGACTTTTCCTGCCCAGGCTGGCTTTGAACCGGGATCCTCAGATCTTAGCCTCCTGATAGCTGGAATGACAGGCGTGAGCCACCGGTACCCAGCTCTTAAGAGTTTTAAAACACAACACTGTGGCCTGAGTTAGGTTCTTGCTCAGTATTTCAGTTCAGCTCTACATGCGTTCACTGAGTGCCTCTGAAGAAACAAGTATGGGCAAAGACAAACCAGCAAAATAGGGCCCTCAAGGCTGGTGTTGGACTGGATGTTTAAAAACATTCCCCACTATTAGGGCAAAGTTACTCCATTTCCTTGCTTTTTTCAGTCTGATAAGAACGTGTGTGTGTGTGTGTGTGTGTGTGTGTGTATTTGTAGGTGGTGGGTTGGGTTTGTTGGTATGGGGTTTGAATTCAAGGCCTCTGGCTTATTTGGTTTTCTTGCTTGGTGGCACTCAGAAACACAACGTTGTGGTCACAAAATATCTATTGATAGTAAGAGTTTTCTGATGACCATGTCTCACGAAAATTAAATGTGTCATTTGCTGAGGTTTTTCTTTTATATTAAGAAAGGAATAGAAGACCCATTCTGAGCTAGGTGTTGTGGTGCAAACCTACAGTCCAGCTGCCCAGAGGCTGGCATGGTGAAAGACTCTTTAAAAAACAACAACAACAACAACAAAAAACCCACCAGTGTTCTGGGGATCAGGGGAGTAGGAGGATGGAAAGATAGCCGTCCTGAGCCGATAGGAATGAGTAGTGCTGTTGTGTCAGGTTGGACTAGCACGTTGGGAATGCTGATGTATGAGCGTTGACTGTTCACAGAGTTTGAGCCACTTGCTTTGCTCACCTCCTTTCCTTCACGGGTGTCCCTGGGGATCTTTACCAGCTGCCTAGATGTCAAGTGGGGACATAGCTACATCACAATGCAGTGTTCTAAAATTAGGAATAAATGACTGCATTAAAAAAAAAAGTAGACTGGGTACAGTAGCACCCACTGTAATCCCAGCTCCTGAAGAGGTATAGGTCAAAAGAGTCTTGGTTCCAGGACAGCCCAGGAAAAAAATTAGGGGCACTTTTTTCTCAACAAAGAAGCCAGGTGTAGGATTGTGTGGCTGTGGTTCACAGGTAGGAAGTCAAAGGCAGGAGATTGAATTGTCCAAACTGAAGACCCTACTTGAAGAGTGACCTAAAATAAAGCACCAAGGGTGATAGGCAGTTCTGGGGCCGTCAAGGAGTAGAGTACCTTCCTAACACCGAGAGGCCCTGAGTTCTACTCCACTACCACCAAAAGCGAGGAGGGAGGCAGAGAGAGCTGCTGGCAGGGGGAGCAAAGGAGGGGCTGAGAGGCTATGAGGAGGCCCCGCCCCCTCCAGCACGCACACCGCACCCAGATCTCAGCACGTGCTCGCGAAAGGCTGAGGTCCCGTGTGAAGGAGAGTTTGAAGCGGTGTTCATTCATACTTGGCTGCGGCTGACTCACCGCAGCTGTTTGAAGCTTAGTCACATCTCTACAACTCCTTCACAGGGGAAGTAGTGTTTCTAGTATCACACATCCTTACAAAGAAAAATGTTTACCGAATAGCTAGTACGGAACTTGTAGGCATCACGAAACAGAATCCAACTTCCAGACCAGAACCCGGTCACGTTTCATTTCTAGTGTGTTCTCCTTTGGGGAGTGGTTTCAACCCAGGAGTCCTGTGGGGGCCACTCGGTCCTCTCCCAAACCCAGTCCAGCCTTGCCCAGCCCAGCCTTGCCCAGCCCAGCCCAAGGAATTTGCCTTGGCTTGGTCAGGCCCATTTCCACTCGGCACAGGAGGAACGAAGTGGGGACTCAGTTTTCCATGAGAACCAAGTGCTCGATATGACCTCCTGAGCAGGCAGAAGCAGCCCTGGGGACTTGGTTCTCCATGAGAACACAAGTGCTCGGATGTGACCTCCCGAGCAGGTGGAAGCAGCCCTGGGTGCACTCTTCCCTGTTCTGAAACCACAGATAAACGCGGTGCGGCGCGGCGCGCCTGGACCTTGGAAGTCATCTCTCCATCTTCTCGGGAAGAAAACCAAGTGCGCCGGTCCCCCATCCCTTGATCCATCGGTGACGAGGACCACAGGGCTCTAAAGCAGGGTCCCGGCGGGAGGGAGTCCTAGCTACTCCCAGGGCTGGGGTCTGAGAGTCAAGGTTGGAAACCAGCCAGGGCAGGAAGGCCTGTGAACTCTTTCCTTCAGTTCATGCCTGAAAGCCAGGAGTGGAGCTGTGGTTAAGGCGTTAGAGTGCCAGTACTGAGCAAAAAACTAAGGGACAGTGCCCAAGCCTAGAGTTCAAGCCCCAGTACCTGGAACCCCCACCCCCAAAAAAGCTAAAACCTAGAAGCATACCTGCTTTTGCCCTATCAGCCTGTCCAAAGCCCATTGTACTGGTTTTCAGCTCCTCAGCCGCTCATGCTCGGGCTCCAGTGGACTCAGCTGCTTCGGGTGAGCCCTTAAAGCTCCTTTTTTTAATTAAAGGTGCGACTGAGGCTATTGAATTTAAAAGCCATTGCGTCGTGTGGCGATGCGGTGGAAGCGGTGCTGTGCTGCCTTGCTGGGCCGGCCCCGCTCCGTGGGCTCCGCTCCGTGGGTTCCGTGGCGTGACAGTGAAGGCGGTGTTTTGTGTTTTTTTTCTTTTAGGTTGACAGTTGCGTTTTTCGCTCTCTCCGGGCTGGATATGTTGGACTCCTTAGACGTGGTGAACAGAGGTGACATAATAGAGTGGATCTACTCCCTGCAGGTGCTCCCCACCGAAGACAGTGAGTGAGTTTTTAGCCTTTCATTTTTACGGTGGCTGGTCGGACCTCGTGGGGTGTGTTAGTGTTTACTGAAACTGTGAGTGTGCTTGTGCCTGTGCTTCCCGTGGAACCAGAGCAACCTGGGGTCAAGTGGGGACCCACACTGTCACCCCGCTGTGGGCACCCCTCACTGGTGACCCATGCTTGCTCTTCACATGTGAGTGACCTAGACTGCCCGCTCCCCCCACTCCCCGCCCCACCCCCCACTTGTCTCCTCAGCATAAAAAACTGCCATCAAGTTGCCTTTCCGCTCAGTTGGGCCCTTTCTCCTGGTCTTTATGTTTAATTGATATTTATATGGTTTCTTTAGCACTGTTATTACAGCCACTTTTATAACTTGTAAGCCACTTCTGTAAACTTGGGTGTTTTGCTTGATTACATTTCCAAAATTCAGAAGGTTCGTGATCAGCTGAATGAAAGCACACTTTTTTTCTTTTGTTAAGCTCTCAAGTGCGGAACGTTAGCACGCTCAGGCCTGTGTGTTGGGCCCTCCACAGGGAGTAGTGGAGATGGCACGGGAATAAAGATCACGAAGTGGCAGAGGCTCGTGCAGTCGCGTCAGCGGCCACCGCTGTCTGTCTGATGAGAGTCGGCACTTCCTAGCCATTTGGCGCTGGCGGGTAACCGTCTCCAGCTCATCCAGTGGTTTGTGAGAACTGAACATCTAGGACTTTTATTTAGAAGGAAGTTTTGTCTATTGACATGGCCTTGGAAATAGTAGATGGCTTTCTAGTTCATTTTTGAAGTCCATAGTTGTGGGGGTTTTTGTTTTTTGTTGGTCACGAGACTTGAAATCAAGGCCTGGGCGCTGTCCCTGCGCTCTTCAGCTCAAGGCGAGTGCTCTACCACTTGAGCCACAGCACAACTTGGAGTTTTCTGGTGGTTTATTGGAGATAAGAGTCTCACAGACTTTCCTACCCGGACTTGCTTTGAGCCACAATCCTCAGATCCTCAGCCTCCAGAGTAGCTAGGATGATAGGCGTGAGCCACCAGCACCCGGCTTGTTTTTATTCAGCTCTTTTAAATCTAAATTTAGTAAGTTCTTGTTAAAAATTGTTAAGCATTCTAGAGTAGATCTATCAGAATTTAATATATCTAACACCTTTCTTATAGGCACTAATTAGGATCAAACAATGACATCGTGTATCTGGCCCTGGGGTCTGTCCTGGAGTCTGTCCGGGTCTTAGCTACTTGTGAAGCTAAGAGTGGGAGGACTGTGGGTCCCAGAGACGCCTGATCCCAGCATGTCCGGAAGCCTAAGGTAGACGTTTGCAGGTCAGGTGCGTGCCTCGGGCAGGAAGCAAAGCCTTACCCACGAACAGCCAGAGGGCCCGGGCCTCCAGGTGTGGCGTTGCTTCTGCTCAGCAAGCCGAGGGCCTGAGTTCAAACCCTGGTCACTGGCAAAAAAAAAAAGTTAATATGACTATAAGGACTATTACAGATTGTGCAGTAGTACAGAAGTAGGCCTGTGTGTGTGTACTGATGTGAATTCTGCTCACTGCATGTGACACGTGGTAAGCTAAAGCATACAGAGAGCTGGGCATGGTGACGTGTGCCTGTAGTCTCAGCCTACTTGGGAGGCAGAGGCAGGAGCTTAGTCGGGAGTTCAAGGCCAGTGTAGGCAGCACAGATTGGAAAAATGTTGAAATGTAGACAGTAAAAAGCTTTCAGTGTTAAAAGTCTTAAATTGGAAAAGGCCTTATAACTTTCAAAACAAAAAAAATAATGTAAAAATTACATGGCTGTATACAAATGGTTTATTTTGCTCGCGGCTGAAATGATGCTGTACATTCAGCATCTTGCAGTTGTGAAAGCACTGCCAAATACATTGTCAGGTTGCCTGGAGAGAGCGCCTGAGGCCCCGCAGACGTGACTGAGATGGAGTAGAGCCAGAGCTCCGGGCCGCGCTGCCCTGCTCTGCTGTGCAGTAGCCAGGCCCCAGGCCCCGAGTGGAGAATGGCCCAGGACACTGAATAGTTCATCAAATCCACCCTGACCCCCGCTTAGCCTCAGGATTGTGAAATCCCTAATCCTGATAATTGGTGTGGTCAGATCACTGGAGCTTCCCGGTGCTTCCCCACCCCCACCTCAAGGGGTTCAAGAAGCGTGAGGCTGGGCTGGGACTGCCACGGGCCTCAGGCCCACTGTAAGACACCTAGTTAATGCCGACAAGCTCCAGCCAAGGCAGTGTCTGGTCTCTCGCCTTCCGTAGACTCGGTGCATCAGGAATTACTTATCATGTATTGTTTTTTTTTGTTTTTTTAGATCCAAAATCCTGAGGCTGTCTTATGGTATGATGTGAGAGTCTGGTCTTTTTTTCTTAGATCCCATTAATTATTGGAAGTAGGTGATTAGAAGTCCTGAAAGGTAGCCAGGATCCTGTGGCTCATACCTGTCATCCTACCTACTCAGGAGACTGAGATCTGAGGATTGCAGTTCAGAACCAGCCTGGGCAGGAAAATCTGTGAGACTCTTGTCACCAATTTACCACCAGGAAGCCGGAAGGGGAGCTGTGGCTCAAAGTGGTAGAATACTAGCCTTGAGTAAAAAAGCTCAGGATAGAGCCCAGGCCCTGAGTTCAAACCCCATGGTTGAACAAAAAAAACCAAAAAACTGAAAGGTTATTGTTTAATGTTTCATTTTCAGTTGGCTTTTTGGATTTGTTCCCTTCTTAAGAAGTATGTTTACAGGAGCTGAGAAGGTGGCTCAGTGGTAGAGCGCTTGCCTTGCATGCCTGAGGCCCTGGGTTTGATTCCTCAGCATCACATAAGCAAAAAGAAAAAAGCCGGAAGTGGTGCTGTGGCTCAAGTGGTAAAGCGCTAGCTTTGAGCTGAAGAGCTGAGGGACAGCGCCCAGGCCCAGAGTTCAGGCTCCACGACCAGACCCCCCAAGAAAAAGAAGTATGTTTACAGTGTTTTAAATATGACTTTTTCAAGCATATTGCACATTAAATTATTATCCATCAATCTTAGAATCATGATGTATCAAAAAGTCTTTGCGAGCTGGGCACTGCTGGCTCATACCCGTAATCCTAATACTCAGGAGGCTAAGATCTGAGGGTCGTGGTTCAAAGCCAGCCCTGGCAATAAAGTCCGTGAGACTCTTATCTCCAGTGAGCCACCAGAAAACAGGAAGTGGTGCTGTGACTCAAGAGCATTTGCCTTGAGCTGAAGAGCTGAGGGACAGCGCCCAGGCGCCAGAGTTCAAGTCCCATGACCAATAAAAAAAAGTCTTTGTTGAAGGAATTTCCTCATTACACTCAGGCCTAGTCATGTGTCTGGTGGTCACACAGATGTTTCACCATCCAGGTGTCATTCTAAACGCTTGACTTTGTAGTTTGTTGAAAGAAATACTTGGTTGAGATACAATGTTTGTGTTAAGCAGAGTGCAGCTGTGCTGGTTATTAATAGTAGTGTTTGCCCTGGCTTGGAAGATGCTTGAGACTAGCCTGAGCTAGAGGGAGACCTCCTTTCAGTACTGATGATGATGGGGGCGGCGGCTATGGATTGCTCTCTTGGTTGAGTAAGTACTCAGTGCTGTGCATAAATCTTCCTGTACAGATTATTTTTTTGCTGTTTCTTCATTACCCAAGTTTTATTTTTCTTATATAACTGTGATCCTTATGGGTGCACAGTTATCTAAACTTACTTCCCGTAATACAAGCTAGTCTACCCTTCACCTCTGCAAAAGCAGAGTTTACCAAAGCTGTGGTTCTTGGTTGTTTTTCTTTTCTTTTTTTTTTTTTGGGGGGGGGGGGGTGGGTCCGGTCATGGGGTCTGAACGCTGGGCCTGGGCGCTGTCCCTCAGCACTTCAGCTCAAGGCTAGCGCTCCACCACTTGAGCCACAGCGCCACTTCTGGCTTCTTTTCTTTTTCCTTATGTGGTGCTGAGGAATTGAACCCAGGGCCTCAGGCATGCAAGGCAAGCGCTCTACCACTGAGCCACCTTCCCAGCCCCTTGGTTGCTTTTCTTGATGAATGAAGCAACTCATTCTGACCCTAAACTCGTGGTTTTCTGTGGGCCTGGGTGGGGGCCGAGAGGCCCCATGGCTTTTCAGATCTGTGCTGATGTCTGCTGCTCTCCTTGCTTGTGCTGAGTGGGAGCACTGGGCCGTGCAAGGAAAGGACCAGAAAGCATGAACTGAAGGGTGGTTTTGCACTCAGGGCCATGCTCCAGCCTGGCATTTTTATGGTTTGTCGGTACATGGCTTTGAACCGCTATCCTCCAGGCCCCAGCCTCCTGAGTACCCAGGATTAGGGTGTGAGCCTGGTGCCCGGTTTACGAGTTGTTTTAATGAGTCTGTTTAATGGGCGATTTTTTTTTCTTGCATTTTAGGTATTTAATGGTAATCAGCTTTCTGAAAGTACTTTTTTTTGGGGGGGGGGGGGGGAATCGAACCCAGGGCCTCATGCATGTAAGACAAGCGCTCTACCACTGAGCCACCTTCCCAGCCCTGAAAGTACTATTAATGATCTTGTTTTGGTTGGTTGTGAGGCTTGAACTCAGGGCCTGGGCACTGTCCCTGAGCCTCTTTTGTGCTCAAGGCTAGTACTCTACCACTTGAGGCATAGGGCCACTTCCCATTGCTGTTGTTTTTTTTTTTTTTTGTCAGTCATGGGGCTTGAACTCTGGGCCTGGGCGCTGTCCCTCAGCTCTTCAGCTCAAGGCGAGCGCTCTACCACTTGAGCTACAGCGCCACTTCCGGTTTTCTGGTGGTTTATTGGAGATAGGAGTCTCACGGTCTCTCCTGCCCGGGCTGGCTTTGAACCACGATCCTCAGATCTCAGCCTCCTGAGTAGCTAGGATTACAGGCGTGAGCCACCAGCGCCCGGCTTCATTGCTGTTGTTTTAACTGAAGTATTAAGCTATCCTTTTCTCCAGCTTCAGAGTCAGCGCTTCCCCCCCCCCCCCCCCCTCGCTTTTGTCTTTTGTAGTACTGAGGCCTTGGCTCAGTCTCCCATTCGCTAGGGCAGCACTTTCCCTGCTGTGTTCCACTGACTGGAGAGCTGAAGAGCTTGTCCACAGTGGACTCGCTGAGCATGACAGACCTGTGATACCTTGACAAAAGGGTCTCACAGACTTTTTTGCCTGGGCTGGCCTTAAACCTTGATCCTCCTGTTGTCAGCCTCGAAAGTAGCTAGGATTCTATAGATGTGAGCCGCCAGTGCCCATACTGTATATACTTTTTTATTCAGTTTGTATTGTCTTTTTTACAGAGGAGGGGGAGGAGGAACAGGGAGGGAAGGAGAGAAGGGAAAGAAAAAGGGGAAGGGAAAAGGAAAGGGATAGAGGAGAAAAGGGTATTTTTACTTTGAAGAAACTTTTCTTCACAAATTGCAAGGAAAGCTATGGATATCTTTCCATGTTACTTTCGATGCTATGTAATTGACCGATTTTCCGTGGTTACTCCTTGTGGAACTTGGGTCCTGAGCTGAAGTATCTCTGACATGTTGTTTAGGAGAGCCAGCAAGGTGGGGGGGGGGGGGCCACACCTGTTAGCAGCTGGTGGAAAATGGAAGAAACTGTGCTCATCGCTTGTTTTCTATGCCTGCATAGCTAGGAGGAATAAGACCTTCCTTGTGCATTCTTTTTAGTTTATTTTGGAAGCAGCGCTGGGGCTTGAACTGGACCTTAACACTTGCCAAGTGCGCTTTCCATCCACGCCAGCCCGAGAGCTTTCCACCCACGCCAGTCTGTAGTCAGTCTCCTAACCTTGATGGCATGTGGCTCAGTGGTGGAGTGCTCCCTAGCACGCATGAAGCCCGGTTCAGTTCTTCAGTACCGCATCCACAGAAAAGGCCGGGAGTGGCGCTGTGGCTCAAGTGGTAGAGTGGCCGCCTTGAGCTGAAGAGCTGAGGGACAGCGCCCAGGCCCAGAGTTCAAGCCCCATGACCAACCAAAAAAACAAAGCAGTGGGACCGCAGACAGGTTGTGGTCCTGAGTAACCCATTGGGCGTGGCATTCACGGGGCATTTGTTTCCTGTTGATCATGTGTAGGGTGAGTCACGTGGTCATGTGAGGGAGGCCGTGTGTAATAAGTCCCTGCTTCAGAGTGCCCCGTGCAGGACCCGTGCAGCCCGCCCGCGTGATATCAGCCTGGCTGCGTGGGGAGCATCTGTGAGACCGCAGGAGTGAGGAGTGTTCTAAAGAAGTGTGCATTTTGTTTTCTAGGATCAAACCTAAATCGCTGTGGTTTCCGAGGCTCTTCCCACCTGGGCATCCCCTTCAATCCGTCCAAGGTCAGTTCCCACCGGGGTGTGGACTGAGCAAACAATGCAGACAGATGAGACTGTCCAATAAAGTGTATTACAAACTAACAGCATCTATGGGAAACCTGCACCCCCTCCCTGGAACATGTACTCCTGGGAATTTACACTGTTAAATGGAATGGCTCAAGCAGAGATTGGCGATCGTGCAGCCCAGGCCTTCGTGAGGCTTTGGGTACACGCACATGCACCATTTAATTTCTAGCCAGTTTGTCCTTTCTAGCTTTTTGAGCTTATAGGAAAGTCATATGTTTTTCAGCCTGTATCTCCCCCCACCCCCCGCCCCCCCCACCCCCCGCCGTGAGTCAGCCTGGTTGCTGTCCCTGAGCTCTGTTGCTTACCTGTGCTCTACCACTTTGAGCCACAGAGCCACCTCCAGTTTTCTGGTGGTTAATTGGATATATGAGTTTCAGGAATTTCCTGCCCAGGCTGGCTTTGAACCTTGATCCTCAGATCTCAGCTGCCTAAGTAGCTAGGATGACAAGTGTGAGCCACCAGTACCCAAAATAAAACTGCTGGAATGCTAACCTATGAAATCGTACCATACAGTACTACTTTAAACATATAACCAGCCGGGTACCGGTGGCTCACACCTGTCATCCGAGCTACTCAGGAGGCTGAGATCTGAGGATCACGGTTCAAAAGCCAGCCCAGGCAGGAGGCCCTGGGTTCTATTCCTCAGCACCACATAAGCAGTAAAAGCCAGAAGTGGCACTGTGGCTCAACTGGTAGAGCGCTAGCCTTGAGCTGAAGAGCTGAGGGACAGCGCCCAGGGCCCAGAGTTCAGGCCCCATGACCGACAAAAAAAAAACAAAAAACCTTGTGTCAAACTAGTTAATGAAGCATTCATATTTCAATTTCTTAATTGACATAAAATTGGTTTGAATTGTAGAATCCTGGAACAGCTCATCCTTACGATAGTGGCCATATAGCAATGACCTACACCGGCCTTTCATGTTTAGTTATTCTTGGAGATGACTTAAGCCGCGTAAACAAAGAAGCTTGCTTAGCTGGCCTGAGAGCCCTGCAGCTGGAGGATGGGAGGTAGGATCACTGGAAATTACTTGAGGGGTATGTGTGTAAGTATAATTACCATGTGTGTATTGTTGTGTGTGTGTGTGTGTGTGTGTGTGTGTGTGTGTGTGTGTGTAAGTAAGTATAAGTACCGTGTGTGTATCATTGTGTGTGTAAATATAAGTACCGTGTGTGTATCAATGTGTGTGTGTGTGTGTAAGTATAGTTATTGGAACGACAAAGATGAACTTACACAGCCAATGGTTAGAGGATCCTGTGTTCTTGTCAGAACCACCTAAGGTGGAGGTTGTAGCTCTGTGCACTCATTTAGCGCATGCAAGGACTCAGTTCAACCCAACACGGCCAGAAAGAACAAAGACCAGGTGACGTCCAGTGTGCAGTGTGTCCAGCCAGTGCTTCATCAGAAAAATCATCTTTATAACCCCAGCAACCTGGAGGGCAGAGATCTGGGGGTTGCGGTTCGAGGCCGGGCTGAGCAAAGACCAGTTGTGAGACTCCATCTCATGGCCTGTGGCATGGCCCAGGCACAGAAAGCCAGACCCTCCCTGAAAACAGCGCACGCGCACATGCATACACACACACGCTGGGCCGCAGCTCGAGAAGGCCTGCCTGCACAGTGGATAAGTAAAAGGCCCTGACAGTAAAAGGCACACACACACACACACACACACAGTAAAAGGCACATACACACAGTAAAAGGCACACACACACACACGCTGGGCCGCAGCTCGAAAAGGCCTGCCTGCACAGTGGATAAGTAAAAGGCCCTGATTTCAGTGCCCTGGGCTGCAGAAAACAAAGACAGGAAGGAATCCAACACATTCTTGGTGTGAATGAGGGCAGAAGTAATTTCACTTACCTTCTACATGAGAAACTATTTTGAAGTAAGCATCCACTTCTCTCCGGAGCTTCCTGCTGGCCGAGGAGGAGCACGCGTGGAGCTGCGTGCTCCGGGCAGGCTGGCTCCGTGTCGGCAGGCTCACTGCTGCGCCCACGTGGACGGCTGCAGGTGGGGCAGCAGCACTACGCTTGTCTGAGGAAGACTGCAGACAAAGCCAGCACGCCGCCTATCTGAGCTTGGCGTTCTCTAAACTTCTTCATCTTGGAGCTGAAGGGGGAGATTTCCTCACAGCAGAGCAATGGCTCACCCTCTGCCTGTCTGGCGGGGCATCTCAGTGGTGTGCAGTAGCTCTGAGCCAGAGCGCTCTCAAGTTGACGGCCAGTAGAGAGTGTTTTATATCATTGTCCTAGTACGTCATACAGGTAGCATAGGATTTTATATCAGTAGCAGAGACACAAAGTAGGTGTTTGAAGCCCCCTGTAAAAATATTTGTGTCCAGCATGTTAATAATCATATACTTGTTCCTTTCAGCTTCTGTGCAGTTCCGGAAGGCAGTGAAAATGACATGCGGTTTGTGTATTGTGCGTCCTGTATTTGCTATATGCTCAACAACTGGTCAGGCATGGATGTGAAGAAGGCCATCAGCTACATCCGCAGAAGTATGGTGAGTGGCGTAGACACTCCTGTGCGGGCTATCAGTGCTGACACGTGTGTGTGCATTAATTAAGATTGCTGTCCTGGTGCGCCATGATTAGAGACCATGCAGAGCTCGTCATACTAGAAGAGCAGATTAAGTCCTTGGTCATGAAAATAGAATACTTGTGTGAGTTTTTTCTAACATTTATTTTTAGGAAAATACCATGGACTATAAATAGTAGTCTTACCCAGAATAATACTTTGCTCTGGTTTTTTGGTTTTTCGTGCTAGTCCTGTAGCTTGAACTGGGGACCTGGTCCTGTCCCTGAGCTTTTTCCGCGCTGAGCCACAGCTCTACTTCTGGATTTTTTGGTTACTGGTTGGAGGTAAGAGTCTCACAGACATTTCTGTCTGGGATGGCTGTGAACCACAATCCTCAGATCTCAGCCTCCTGAGTAGCTAGCATTACCAGCGCCCTGCTCCTTTGCTCTGTTTATATGTTATATAAAATTGGAAAAATAGAGCTGCTTTCTACGGTTACTGCTTCTCAGATGTGACATTTGTAGTGCTCTAGATTATTTAAAACAGTTTCTTCAAGCTTTACCCAGTATTTATAAATAGAAATGTATGTGAATGAATTCTCAGAGGAATGGAGTTGGTTTTAGATGAATATGGGACTATGGATCAGATTATGTAGAAATTTGCCCAGTATTTAAAAGCTAGTGGACACAGAGGCACCTTGAACAGATTTAGACCTGTTAGGGAGGTGGGCCAGGTGCACTGACTTTTCCTGTTCATGCATTTGTCCTATTTTTGTTCCCTTGGGTAAAGTGATATGTGCCAGAGTTTTCTCTGCAAAGCTAGCATTTTTTTTCCTCTCTGTAATTATTTACTATCTCATAATTTGGATGCTTTAAATACACTGAATACACTGTCATGAAACTTCTATCCATTTGTGTTTAAGTGTGCACTAATGGTTGTCTAGCTCTGACTGCCATGCTATAAATGGCGATGGAAATGCTTCAGACTGAATTTTTGTGTTATTTCATGGGAGACAGTCTGTCTTGTCAGTTCCTGTTTGGCTGTTCATTGAGGCTCCGATTTAGCCACTGAGAGTCTTTTCACACAGGCTCGGCTTGGCTTGCTGCGTTTCCTTCATGCTCAGGGCCTTCCTGCTTCCCAGCATAAGATATTCCAGGTTCATCTGCAGTCCTCGTTCTTCTGGAGGACGGTGTTGAGAGAGTGTGCATGGCTTCTCGGCCCCTATCAGTAGGAAGGGCTAGATAGTGTGTGGACGCTTTCCCAGACGCCCTCACACAGACACACGCAGTGTACACGTGTCTGTCCGCGTACTGCACACCATGATCCAGTGCAAGAGTTCTTCAGTTCTCTGATACTACAGTGTTCATTTATTTTTCCTCTTTAGTGTCAGTATGTCATTTATTTGAAGTCAGCTTCAGGTGTTTGCACAGTTTGGGTCCCCCTGTCTTTGTTGACCTTCATTTATGTAACGTGTGCGATGCTGGCCTGCTTCTGAATATCAGGACTGTGCGAGAGCCGTGTTCAGAGAGGTGTGACCCTCCGCCCTGTGCCTGCCATCTGCTCGAGAGGATGTCTTACTGGTTTTTCCATCATCTTCCTTGTGTTGCTTCTTCATGGGACAATATAAATCTATCTTATTTCTCCTTTCCCTACTTCAGAGATAGTCTACCACCGGCCTTGTTTTTTTCCCCCACTGAACAGCATACCTTGAGACTCGCCTGCAAGGTCGTGTTTTCCTCATTCTTTCTGGTAAAGCAGTGTGCTTCTCAGGTGCCCCTTAGTGGTTTCAGGCGTTCTGTATGTAGTGTGTGTGTGAGCTTGGTGTGACTCCCATCCCGTGTCAGTGTCCCACGCTTCTTCACTGCGCTTGTCATCTGCGTGTCACTTTGGTCTTCTTCACTGCGCGTGCGGTCCTCTTCACGATGCCGCCTTAGAAAGGCAAGCGTCCTGTGCGCTCACCACCCGGCCACGGCGCCGTGACAGAGCCACGGTGGAGCCGCTGGCAGACAGGGATGGCACTGATCACTGATCCCGATGGCATTTGTCATTTTTGTCAGGATTCCTGGACCAAAGAGCTTACTTTAAATGGTTGAAGCCAGTATGCTGTGATGACTGAGATCGAAGCCATTTGTAAATCTACACTCTGGGTGACTGGACTGGGTGCGTGCTGGAACTGTGGGGGCCAGCTTGCCCGAGACGCTGTGGGGGCCGTGAGTGTGCGGAAGGCCCGCCTCCAGCAGTGCCCCTTTCTCCTTCCCAGCCTTAGCAGAGCTCAGCTCTCTCAGCTCGGTGACTGTCGGAGCTGGCCGGCCAGCGCGCGACGTGTCTTCCTCTACCGGCAGTGGTCTGACGCTTCACCATGCTTTCTAAAACCCACAAGTTTTCACTTGTTCTCCTTGCTCTCTTGATTTTGGAGGAAGTGTGAGCAGAGGGAAGTTTTATGCGCAGGCTCGTTATATTTTCAGTCAGCCAATACATACTAGGAAGTGTGCAAGGGAAGTAGGGCCCAAATGCTGGGTAGAGCTGGATCTGTAGACAGTATCTCCGAACTGAGTCCCTGCACTCAGACATTTGGGTTGGGAAAGGAAACTAGGCTGGGTCCTTGAAAATGGCTACTTCTACTTCTCTGGAGAAAGAGTGCATATTTTGGAAAATAGTTTTTTTTTAAAAAAATGGAGTGTTAAAAAAAAGGGCTGGGAAGGTGGCTCAGTGGTAGAGCGCTTGCCTTGCATGCATTGAGGCCCTGGGTTCGATTCCTCAGCACCACATAAGAAAAAAGCCGGAAGTGGCGCTGTGGCTCAAGTGGTAGAGCGCTAGCCTTGAGCTGAAGTGCTCAGGCCCAGAGTTCAGGCCCCATGACTGGACCCTCCCCCCCCCCCCCCCAAAAAAAAAAAAAAAAAGGAGTGTTCTTCATGTATTACTATTTCTCTGCAAACTAAGCAGTGTTTTCTTTTTCAGTCCTACGACAATGGGCTGGCCCAGGGAGCCGGACTTGAATCTCACGGTGAGACTCAATAAACATGATGCTGTCTTTCACTTCTTTGAAAACTCCACAGTATCTTTAGTACAGTGACTTTAATGGGTCCGCCGTTACTGTAGCCTGTTTCTTGTTCTCTCTTCCATTCTGCAGTTCTAGACTGAAGCCTCCTAGTCTCTAGCCATCACCAGACTGTTCAAACCTGCATGCTCCCATGATGCAGTTATCTGTTCACTAGTTAGCTGCATGAAAATAACTTGCAGCTATTCCTTAAGCTGTTGTTTAAAAAATAAAAGCTTAGCCAGGCGCTGGTGGCTCACACCTGTCATCACAACTACTCAGGAGGTTGAGATCTGAGGATCACAGTTCAAGGTCAAGGAAAGTCCATGAGACTCTTATTTCCAATATACCACTCATAAAACCGGAAGTGGCACTGTGGCTCAAAGTGGTAGAGCGCTGACCTTGAGCTGAAGAGCTCAAGGACAGTGCCCAGGCCCAGAGTTCAAGCCCCACAATCAACAGTAAATAATACAAGCTTAGTTTTCTTTGGCTTAACATTTACTTTCTTAAGTATAATATTTTGTATAGCTTCAAATTACCTTATGTTGATCAACGTGGCATGGAAGAGTTTCTGTACTGAGTGGATATTTTGAAATTGTCATTTAAAAATTGTATTCCACTGTTTTCATTTAACCCCCCACCCCACCCCCCCCACCCCCAAGTAATTTGTACAGTGTTTTCATAGCATCTCAGTTATGGGCTTTGTTTAACAGGAGGATCAACTTTCTGTGGCATTGCCTCCCTGTGTCTGATGGGCAAGTTGGAAGAGGTGTTTTCAGAAAAGGAGCTGAACAGGATAAAGAGGTGGTGCATAATGCGGCAGCAGAACGGCTACCATGGGCGGCCCAACAAGCCTGTGGACACCTGCTACTCCTTCTGGGTGGGAGCGACCCTGAAGGTGAGGGGCCACTCGGGCGCCTGCACTGCCCATCCAGCAGGATTAGCTGCGGCCAGTTCTCTTTGTTTGCTGCTTGAAAACGTCCATCTTTACACCAACTCTGAGACCACCTGCCTCCCAGGGTCACAAGTACTTGCTACTGAAGCTAACCAGTGCTTTGTGTAGAAGAGATATCTTTCTAGAAGTTATACCAGTAAAGATTATGTGGGAGCTGTTAATTTAAAAATGCCAGGTGCTTGGTAGCTCACACCTATAATCCTAAAAGTAAGAGTAAATGGCGTTTTTAGAATGACAGATGGGTCAAGTGTACTGGAGAAGTTATATGTTGAGTCTACATCCGTTCGGCTTGATTCAGAAGAAAAAACCAGCGGGTTGGAAAAGGAGAATAGATGTGGTAAGGAAATAACACTTGGGCAGTTGACTACTTTCAGGTGCTCAGGTCTGCAGAGAGCTGCCCTGGGGACCTTAGCTGGAGACTTGTCACGGACGACACACACTGAGTCATGAGCCAGAGGGTAGCATAAGAGCTTACGTGTTCATGGCTTTTTGTCATTTCAGCTCCTGAAGATTTTCCAGTACACTAACTTTGAGAAAAACAGAAATTATATCTTATCAACTCAGGACCGCCTCGTAGGGGGATTTGCCAAGTGGCCGGACAGCCATCCAGGTACTGTGCAGGACAGTCCCTCCCGAGTCCCCGCCCTCCCTGCCCTGCCCCGCCAGTCCGTAGTAGAATCTCAGGAAATTTCCCTTTGATAACACTTTTTTTGTGGATCGTGGGGCTTGAACTCGGCCTTTGGGCGCTGTCCCTCAGCTCTTCAGCTCAAGACGAGCGCTCTACCGCTTGAGCCACAGCGCCACTTCCGGTTTTCTGGTGGTTCATTGGAGATAAGAGTCTCACGGCCTTTCCTGCGTGTGCTGGCTTTGAACCACGATCCTCAGATCTCAGCCTCCTGAGTAGCTGGGATGACAGGCGTGAGCCGCCAGCGCCTAGCTAATAGCTCATTTTGATGATATGTATTTTAAAACTTGGTGAAAACTAGCATTTTCCTGAATGTGATTTTAATTTTCTGTGGGGCTGCTGGATATGTATTTCGAAGTGTGTACATACGATAACTAAAATCACCTGCCTTCCAGATGCTTTGCACGCGTACTTTGGGATCTGCGGGCTATCTCTCATGGAGGAGAGCGGCATCTGCAAAGTCCATCCTGCCCTGAACGTGAGCACACGGACGTCAGAGCGCCTTCGAGATCTCCATCGCGCGTGGAAGAGCCAGGGCTGCGCGCAGAGCTCGGAGCACGTGCAGGTGGAGACGTGACGGCGGCAGGCCGGGCGCGGAGCACGGCTGCAGCACAAGGCTAGAGGCCACGTGCGACCAAGTGTGCTCCTCCGCAGAGAGCCATGCCACCATGCGGTGCAGGCTGGCGCCAGCAACCTTCCCACCAGGCTTCAGGAAAGCCTCGGTTGAAGTTTGAACCACAGCAGTGGATGTTGTTTGGTTCTTAAATGTTACACTGTATTTTTAAGAAATTCTTTGAGGCAAATCAACTGTGTGGAGGTAGGTTATCTTTTTAAAACGCTTTGGTACAAATTATATCTTAAAATATGGACACAGATCTTCAAACCAGTTTACACTTCACTCAGCATTGATAACCCTCAAGTGGCAATGACTGTTTAACAGTCCTGACTGGTGCCGGTTGGGGAAAGATGGCTTTACTGAATCATGTGTCAGGATCATTCTTCAAAAAGAGATGATCCCATCATTTTTTTTTTTTAAGAATGACTTGTTTTATTCTTCAGTGTGCCAATTAAAACTTTTGTGGCCTATAAAAATGAAATTGTTTGTAACAAGAATAAATAGGTGCAACTAATACTTTAGTTTTCTAAAGGGAAATTGTTTTCAGAGGACTATTATGTAAGTGAGAGAAAAGTAACCTGACTGATTATAAAAGAGAAAGTTTTGTGTTCTGTGAGTCTTTAGACATTACTGGTGTGAGTATCGATGTGTGGGGTTTTTAAATCTGATGCATTCACTGCCTTCTAAGGGCAGTGGGAGGGAGACACTTTTTTAGAAGGAAAGACAGTGAGAGTTATTTTTCTGAGATTTTTGATACTGTAAATTATACTTGTTCTTTTATAACTAAGTGATTTTTAGCCATTTGGAGATTTTCTTCCTTTTTAAAAAAATTTTTTTGTTGCTCTCAGTGTATAAACTGCTCTAATTTTAAACTTCCAGTTTGAGCATCCTTAAATTCAAAATCCAAACTCTGAAATGCTCTGAAACGCAAACTCTGCGTACCTACGGGACCCCCCGAGTGGAAAGTTTCATAGACCAAACATGCAGGCATGCTGAAACTACCTTTAGCTGCTGGTATCATCAGTCAGCTTTGTACTTAACCTTGGATCCTGTCCGTGAGATGCGATGTGGATACGGAAAGCCCAGATCTGAAACCCTTGTGGTCCCAAGCATTTTGGATAAGGGATGCTTAATCTACAGTAATTTTTCTTTTTAGTTTAAAGAGTTCAAATACAAAAAGGGAACCACTCAAGTAAGCTTCATGGTGCGGCTCCGTGCATGTCATTTCTATTTTTATATTTTAGGTAAGTGCTAGGGAGATACAGAACCATCCAGAGCTTAAGAACGTTAGTTTGGTTTAATTCGTTGTTTTGTCTTCATTCTGTGAACTCACTCGTCCTAAAGGAGCTAGGGTAAAAACGGCTCCACGCGAGCTACCAGCTCAGCACACACCACGGCCTTCAGCTCAGGTAGGCAGACAGGCAGGAGTCCAGTCCTGAAATGGAGAAAGAAAATTCTCCACGGGAAGAGCCAGGCTTCCATCAGTCCAATAATAAAAATTGAATTGTTCTACAGACTTCAAAAGCTAAATGATTAGGAACACTAGGTACCGTATTTTTTAGGTATAGGCATTTTTAATTTACTTTTATTTCTTTTCTGAGACATGCCCTAAAATAAAACCCTTCTAAAAGGAAGTGCGAATACTTGAAACAGTCATTTACTTATGATTGGCATGCTTAGTTTTCAACCTGATTTTACAAAGTCAACTTGAGCCTTTTTATTTGGGGGCTGGGGACAGGTAAGAGCAGGTGAGGGTGTAATTCACTGAACACTTGCCCGGTATAGATGCGGCCTGGCTTTGATCACCAGTGCGGGAAGAAAAGTTAAAAGCCTGATTGGAAATTTCCCATCAGTGGGAGAAAATGAGCTTGCCAGATTTTATTCTTCTGTAGGTATTCCAGTTGCTTCTGTTTCAGTCCTGGAAAGTTCACACCTGGCCGTGTCAGGCTAAGTTACCACCTAGATACGTAGACCCTGACTCCGGGGTGTGGCAAGGCCCATGCTGCCTGTCCTGAATATAGAGCAGTGGGCTCTATGTTCTTAAGTGACTAATAGCAAGATTTTTTTTTGGGTGGGTGGGGGGGCTCCGGTCATGGGGCCTGAACTCTGGGCCTGGGCGCTGTCCCTCAGCTCTTCAGCTGAAGGCCAGCGCTCTACTGCTTGAGCCACAGCACCCCTTCCGGCTTTTTTCTTTTTGCTTATGTGGTGCTGAGGAATCAAACCCAGGGCCTCAAGCATGCAAGGCAAGCGCTCTACCACTGAGCCACCTTCCCAGCCCAGCAAGAGACTATTCATGACATAATGACTCTAGTTGACATGCCTGGGACAAGGTTTCTTGTGAAATTTGAAAGTCCAGTAAAAGTTCACTTTTCGTAGAAACCTATTGACCAGGAAATAGTAGGTCCTTCATTTGTGGAAAAATTACTGCTAACACGTTCAAGTGTTTACTTGGCAAGAAAAATGGTAATAAAGTAAATTGTAAGCATCAGTTCATATCTGTACTCTGTTCTTTACGGTAGTTATATAGTGAGAAGAGAAGTGTATTTGTATTTGTTAAATTTTTAAGGAATCATTTCCGAGTAATGGAAGCTCAAAGTTTGCTGACAGTGGCCCACAGCTGGAGAGTGGCTGGCCCTGAGAACATTTGGTAGACTTCAATAAGGAGATGCTTGGAGGGCGGATGATTTGGGTTCAATCCCAGATCTGCCAGGTGAGCAGCACCATCTTGGACCCTAGATTTGCCATTGGTAAAATGAGAAAAAGAGGACAAACTCGTGGGTGTATTGAGGATTGAGTGAGTCAGTGAACGTCAAGCACTGAGTGCAGCGCCAGCATCGCAGTGAAGCCCTGATGCACTTTGTGTCATATCATCATAAGATTCTGTGTAAAGGTGGAGTCTTTCAGAGCTTAGCCTCAGGGAGGGCAGGACACTGGCCCAAGAATGAAGCGTAACAGTCCGGAGGAGCACTGGGGGAAGGCAGCTGGTTCCTGAGCTCCCGCTCTGCGCCACTGCCCACAGCCCTCAGGAGAGTTGAGTGGACCAATGAGAGCAGAGCCAGTGCCGAGACCCTTCTCCAGAGGGGCCATGCAGCAGAGGAGCGCTGAGGAGAGGTGGCCCCGTGCTCCCGGGGGACCCTGCGAGACTTGACATCCAACCTGGACAGGACGGGCATGTCCGCGGGGACATCCGCAGGCAGGCAGTCGCCCAGAGCACCCTCCTCCCGAAAAGCACAGACAGACCCGCCTCAGGCCAGAAGCTGGCAGGGCCAGGACTGGGGAGCTCAGTAAGACAGCTCCTGTGTACCTGGACTGCTACCCAGAAAGCCCGAAGCTGATGACCCAGTACAGTAGCAATAAAACACAGCGGATGTCCCAGGGCCCTCATTGGACCACGCGTGAGCCCACACTCTGGTTGCACTTGGGAGCCTCGCCAGTCACTGACGGACGAGCAACGCGCGTGCCAGCACGAACACCTGCTTTGCATCGGAGGGGCGCGCGTGGGCCACCCCCACCGCTTCAGCTCGAAGAGAACGCGGGCCTGCTGCTGGGAGTGTCTTGTTTCTCCTTACGCAGGTGCACTCGCTTTATGAGTATTTATCCATCTCTGCACACATCATTTTTGCTATGTGTGTATGATTTCAACAAAAAGACTTTGTAAAAAGAAGACTGTACACATGTGCAACATACAGGTACGACATTCACATGTGTGTGTATGTCTTTGTATATACACATACTTAAACTATCAGAGAATTACCACACCCGGCCTTTTCTGTTCAAATGTAGTCTCAAGTTTCCTGCTCAGGCTAGTCTGGAACCTCAGTCCTCCTGATCTTTTTCTCCCAACTAGCTAAGATTGCGGCAATGAGCTGCCAGTGCCCCAGCGGTATTGATTGGGGTTTGAAGTCTGAGACTCCAGCTTGCTAGGCATGCACTTGGCTCTGTCTGCTGAGCATGTACCCTGTGAATCACCTCTGGGTTTACTGATTTCCAGGACAGCCGTGTGTGTGTGTGTGTGTGTGTGTGTGTGTGTGTGTGTGTGTGTGTGTGTGTGTGTGTGTGTGTGTGTGTGTGTGTGTGTGTGTGTGTGTGTGTGTCTACATCCCCGCCCCCTGGCAGTATAACTCCCTCCCAGCTTTGGCTGTCATGGAGGTGATGTTTGCCACTGGCCTGGCAGGTGGATCCCAGTGTCTCTGATGGCCAGTCTTCAATTTCAGCTCAGGCCCCTGAGCAGGGAACTTGGCTCTGCTGCCCCAGACTTCAGGCTGTACAACTGTGAGCTTTTGAGGCTGCCTGCTAAAAACATGGTAATTTATTTCTCAGCAGTAGAAAAGGAGCACCTCATAAATTATGAATAGTCAGTACAGACGGAATTGCAGTGATTTTTTTTCAGGGCAAGCCACAAAACAAAGGAATAAAAGGAGCCCCTCCTCCCCCCCCCCCCCCCAAAAAAAATGTAGCATGCGTACTGTCGACCATGGCACCGTCTTCGCGCTTCACCAGTGCTCTAAATGGGCTGAGCTCAGCAGGTGGTGCATTTCAGCTGCCTTACAGCCATGACTGGAAATTGTGAAAACATGGTTGATGATACTACCTTAGCATAATACCATGCAACATAGAGACACTGCCAAGCAAACTACAAGCGTGTTACTAGCACCCAAGCACATCTCCACAGAGATTTCTTAAAGCTGTAACGAAGTTACGGGTTGTTGGGTAGGATCTGCTGAACGGATGGATAGCGTACTACGGTTCTGTAGGATGTCTTCAGTGGAGAAGCCCATGAGGCATGTTTACAGTCAGGGGCGTGGTGGATCTATCAGCACCACCCCGAGATCAAAGAGAAATCCGCACATGGGACCATGAGAGGCACGGGAAATTCACAGGAAAAATGGAAGTAAGGGAGATTCATTCCAAGTGCATCCCTCATTCAATCCTACATCGGCAAGTCGGCATTCATAGCGTTTTGTGGGGTCTTTAAAGAGCGACGAGAAATGGCGAGTCAAATATCTAATTTGATGAATCCCCGAGTAGCTCCTGGAATGTTAGATTTTTTTACCTTGCGATTTAAATTTGGAGTCCCCCAAAAAAGTGGCAGGAATAGAACATTTGAAATGCCGAAGTATTTGTTAAGTACAAGTCCACAGCATCTAAGGATCTCAGCTAGCTCCAGGCGTGAGAAACAGAAGGTCCAGAGCTGGTGCAGCGTGACGGCAGAGTTCCCATTGGAAACTGCAAGTGAGGGTGCGGTGGAACGCTTCTACTACCCAAGGACACCGCCATCAACCACGAGTGCTCCCCACTCCAAGGATGCTCTCACACAACTGGAAGAAAGCCAGAGGGACGGGCAAGCAAGCATGGCCCGGTTACGGACACCCAGCTGAGGAGAGCCAAGCCAGGAATCCCTATATTCTGTGGGAAACTCTCATCTGTCAAGTTTGAAACTCATTAAGCCAAGCACCCGAGCTCACACTTGTCATCCTAGGTACTCAGGAGGCTGAGATCTGAGGATCATGGTTCAAAGCCAGCCTGGGCAGGAAAGTCAGTGAGACTCATCTCTAATTAACCAGCAGAAAACCAGAAATGGTGCTGTGGCTCAAGAGGTAGAGCCAAGTGCCAAGACCAGCATGCATGTGCATGTGCACACGCGCGCGCACACACACACACGCACTGTACTCTGCCTGACTTCTGGAATTGAAACCCCTTAATAAATATTTTTTTCAAAATTGCTCATGTGAATGTGCCAGGGTACAAGCCCAGTTAGATCCCGCGCTTGGTTTGGGAGTTGTTTGGTGGCTTTTTCTTCCCGGCAGGGACTCTGGCCTCTCCCTGGGTTATCTGGCTGGCCCCGGAGGCGTTCAGGCTTGCGTCACGTTCACTGCGTGGTTGGACTGGCTGCTTCTGAACACATCCACACATTAAAAGGTACGTTTTGTTAAGAACAGGTGATCAGCCTATTAAAGGTGGGTTTAAGCCTTCAAGGGCATTCTGATGAGAAGAAGTCATACTGCGGATATGGGTTTCCTTGGTGGCCTCAGACAGATACATGTACGGCTGGGGTTTGGTCTTTTTTTTTTTTTTTAACGCTTGGGGGTTGGTCTTGGGTCTTGAACTCAGGGCCCGGGCACTGTTCCCAAGCTCTGTTGCTCAAGGCTAGCGATCTACCACTTTGAGCCACAGTGCCACTTTTGGTTTTCTGGTGATTCATTGGAGCTAAGAGTCTCATACTTTCCTGCCCAGGCTGTCTTTGAACCATGATCCTCAGATCTCAGCTTCTTAAGTAAGGATTACAGGCCCCCCAGCACCCGGCCTTTTTTTACGTTTTTGTTTTTTAGTTGTTTTTTGTTATTGTTGTTGGTTTTTTGTTTTTTTCCGGTCATGGGCATGAACTCTGGGCCTGGGCGCTGTCCCTCAACTCTTCAGCTCAAGGCTAGCGCTCTACCACTTGAGCCACAGCGCAACTTCCGGTTTTTTCTGCTTATGTGGTGCTGAGGAATCGAACCTAGGGCCTCATGCATACAAAGCAAGCACTCTACCACTGAGCCACCTTCCCAGCCTTTTTTTACATTTCTATTGGCACAATTAGTTTGCTCAAGGGAGTTACATGTTGACATGTCCCTGTATTCATACAAGCGATGGTTTGGGCCACGTATTTAGGGGGA